CTAAATGATGAACTAGTGAGTAGTGATAAACTTGTAACATCACACAATTTCATTTTAACTTTGGTTTATAAGCGTCAACCTACTATGATTAACCTTAATATTATCAGCAGGCCTATTTAGCAGTTTACAAATTTATTGAAAGGAAATAAGAACTAGTGCAGTGGTCGTTTTAACTGAGAGGATTGATGGTTTAAAATTGAGTGAACACGCCTCAGTGAAATTCGTCAGCACAAAGTAAATTCCCGCCCTGGTACGTACTACCCCTGATCTAAAATTGTGTAATTCTAGCGTCAGCGACTGCGATATACTGAAGACCAAGTTTGTCACATGAACATCTAGGCAGTGTTTGATTGGTCTAAGCACATAACCAAACCCCAACATCTGCTGCTGAGTTGGCTGAGATTACATTATTTGTCACATCAGTATATGTTTTGTTTCAAATTTACACGTGAGTAGATCCAATTCTTCGAGCTAAGCTGTACACCAACCTGGCCGTTGAGAACATCAAAATTTCCGTTTAATCTATGTTTTGCCAGTAAAGTCTTGTCAGATGTGATTAAATGATTGAATATGGCTATATGGTAACAGCTAAGTTATATCAATTAATCATTAATGTGCATAAAAGTAGGTTGACGCTTATTATAAACAAAAGTTTAAATGAAATTTTACAAGTTAATTATTATACAAGTTCATCATTTAAAACGGTGTTTAGAACCGCCCTTGTGTCTCCAGTTCCCGGCAGGACAGCAAAACAACCAGCGACCTCTGCACGCACACCATATCAACCGGTGGCTGCTGCTCGCAGAGCAGAAAATTTTCAATCCGGGAATAGAAATAGATTGATATCCGCCGTTTACGGTCCGGCAGCCAAAACCCCAGACCGGTCGGCTCCTAGTACGGACTTAGGAATATTCACTACTCAGAGCAGTGTACAATAGAATACAATGAGTTGGTTTGGCTAGTCAAATGATCGTTTATCAAATTTTGAGTGAAACAGACGGTTGATTTCCTATTTGTTTGTTTAAAAAGATTCCTGTTTTCAATTTTATTTGTTATAGAATCTGTTTCTTTTTTGATTGATTATGTCACTGTACTAACCTTTATTATACCTACATGTATTGTATGGTTTCTGCTTCTATTAAGTTTAGTGTGGTTTACAATAAAAGATGTTCTAATTTTGTCTTTGTCTTATATTGAGTTATACTTTTGTTCACTTTTACACATTTCATTTCATTTCATAGTTCCAACTTAACTTCCAAACCTAATCTATACAATTTTTAAAATATTTTCACTTTTGATGCAAATACCCACGTCTAAAATCCGTTGCTAGGTTATTAAAGTTATAAGTTTATTGCGCAATTTTCCAAATACATTTCATGATTTTACACTGCAGATCTACACAGAAATCTTTACAAAAATTACCATTTAAAACCATCTAGTTATTCCACCAGTCATTAAACACTGAATTGGCAGCTGAATTTGCAACTCAGATTTCTGTATGCGAAGCTTTCACTGGGTCTTATGGAGGGACTGTTTAAAGAAATAGCATCTTTCGAATCTAGGAAGACTAGGAATCCCTATTATATAGTCCAGGATGAAATTTAATTGTCGAATTCGTCTGTCTGACAGGGATTTTCAGAACAGCTGGCCTTGAAACGTAAATTAACTTAAACCGCTATTATTAAACATTTTCTTTTCCGTTTTCTTGTTTTCTACAGTCGCACAGCTAACTTATCAATCATGTGATCGCAAATACAAAAGTTACGTCCAAAGTTAAGTCGCTATCCCATTGACACGATACGTTAGATGCGATCTGGGTTGATAATTTGTCCTTATCTTATTAATCTGCTTGCTTGTTTGTTTGAGTGTGACTTAAAACGAGCCCTTCCGGGTAAGTAAGCTTCCTGTCACCACTTCAAGTTTAGAAATTACATTTCCCTCTACAGAATAATTCAAACACTGTATCAGCCACCTAATGTTTAATGGAGAAGAAATTGGTACACTTCAGAGGCCCGTATCAGCAGTAACAACCACACGCCACACGGGGCAGTGTGGTAATCTGCAAGATGCAGAACAGGTGAGTTAATATAATTATACTAGTACACAAATATCCATGACAGAGCAGCTGGCTTTTAAATCTGAATATTCTTTTCTACATTTGCACAGCTGACTTACCAATTATTTGGGCACCATATACTTATAATACACTGTTTGGGATCTGAGATGAGATTCCTAAATATCGAGGTGTCCTCTGCTGTCTGCATTTGACACCATCAAAAGGATCAGTCTTCCTAGAGCTTCTTATTGATGCTTGTATAATTATAGTTCAGATCAAAGTAATTAGTAAAGTCGACTGTTCCAGGAGAGCTTTAATGTCGTGATAATATAATAGTTGCGATCCAGGATGTTTTTTTGTCTGACTGCTTTATATATTCATATCTCAATACATTCTGAAAGCTGCTCGATCAATACTGTTAGTCATTCGTCTTGAATTTCTTATTGTCCACATACTTCGGACTACCTTTATGGATTTGGTCTAAGTTGAGATTTGTTTTATTTTTCTCGCCATTGCAAAGAATTGTGTTTTTTTTTGAAGAGTCATTCGTTTACTTTCCGTTTAACTTGAATCACGTCGTCTCGCCATCTGTGTTCAGTAAACAATAGCCACAGAGTAACACATAAATCATCGCTTTAGCTCATCCATAATCTATATTCGTGGTTTAAATGGTCTAAATATGAGAGCTATATTACGTGTGATGGATGATTGACCCAACTGCATAATATATTATATTCTGTGCCGATAAATAGCGCATAACAATAGAGTTAACTTATAAAGTCTCGGCACTGGGGTATTTAGCAGTTAGCTTTTAGAGCTGGTTTAAACAGCAATCATTCCATTGTCATTCAAATTTTTTGTAAATGGTTAGAGACTGAAAGTATTTATTAAAGATGAATTTCGACTCCTGGTAGCCGTATTTAAATATATAAGTCCTGTCTGATTGGTATATTATAAATCGGTTTTAGTGGTTGATGGCTGACTCAGGGCCGAAACTTTCGCTATTTTTCACCTCCATTATGCAACACCTCCATTATGCAACGCTAGTAGTTTAGAAGCTTATAACCCTCTAATTCAGGTACCGATGACAAACGGAAGACAGCTATGTTGAATGTTTCGAAGTGCCAAATTCCTGTAAAAAGAATAGTTTGTTGATGTGTCTTATTATTTTGCTCGATCAATTTCATTTCCTTTGAGCGTAACTTTTCAACCCAAGGCCTTCAGGATAGAAATGGTCTCTGTCAACACTCCAAGTCTAGATGTCTCTCTTCAGAATACGTCAATCGCTCCAATATCCACTGAGTATTCTCTGATTAAGGACAAAGAAGTCCAATACTTTCTGGCGGCTTATTTCCTGCTTGTCTTACTCTCATGTCTGATCGGAGATCCTATCATCCTGGCCGCTTCACTTAAGCCCAATGGTATCCGGCTCAACCATTTCATAGTAACAGTGATGCAACATATTGCAGTATCTGACCTCATGTCTTGTTTCACTTTCATTTTACCTAATACTTTAGCCTTTATTGCTAATAAATGGGTTTTAGGAAATACTTTAAATGACTATCGTTGGTATTTAGATAGTGCTACTTTTGGAGCTAACACTATTCTGACCAGTATGCTAAGTACAACCAAATTTCTGCTGCTTCAATACCCAACACGAACGCGGGGATGGACAGTTAGAAAAGCACACATTAGCTGCTTCAGTATATGGTTCTTTGCGTGCATTTTCCCTGCTATGTATTTTGGCTTTGATATGGCTTTAAAAAGAGAATGGCTGACCCGGAAGTCGTCTTTGTTCCATTACCTAGCTTACTTCAAATTAGGGATCACTTTTGTCCTTCCATTTTTGGTCATGATAGTAACCACTATACTTATCCTCTTCCATCTTATGGAAGCCAGGAGAGTTGCTAAAAAAAGTGGAGGCAGGACACGGCGGCGAGGAATTGCTACTGTTGTCACCATTGTCACAGTTTACTGCATCGCACATATTCCTTTTATATGGGTCAACGTCTATGGATTCATCAATAAAGACTATACGGAATCCCTGGCGTGGATCATGGCCTGTTTTACCGGACTGAATACCATGTGTAACATTTACGTGTACTGCATCACTATTCCTAGCCTGAGGCAGTTCATCAGGGTGAACATCCTGCGACGACATCTCAGTAATACCTCTGGGACACTGAAAGTGCACGAACCTACCGCTGTATTTAAATCGAATCACCCAGTCTCCATAGGATCACCCAACAGTACCATCAGGTCGCCACAAATTCCCATCAGGTCAACCCCGGTCCTTACTAGGTCAATCCGAAAAAACCGCTTTCTGTTACCCTATTCCTATCCTAGCAATATTCCTAGCTGATCCTGTACCCCTCAATTATCCTGCAGTTGAACAGAAGTTGAACAGGAAGTTGACCAGAACACTCTAGCTGGGTAAGGTTGTAACTTCAACTGTTATAAGATTTTTGTAAAGATGAATTAAAGCGCACCAGAGTTGATGTTTATAAGGATTAAGTTACAGTAGGATTTTACCGAACTCTGCAGCTCTGCAGGTTTTTCTCTCAATATTTTAGTTTTACTTCTTCCCATCTTAAATTAGAGTTTATGGATTGAAATAAGGTTTGGAATTACACTTAAATATTTGAACAGTTCTTATGTCGAGATACATTTTGCTTTAAGTTTTTTATTTTAGGCACCCCATTTAAACCATTTTATTTATTTCTGGGTTATGTTCTGAATTTATTTGTTGACCTGTTGTGGTTTAGATTTCTCAACTAATATCTTGTCGTGATTTTCAAACCATATCACTAAAATATACCAATGAATGACCTAGTGAAACGTGTGTTAAATATGGTTTAATGTGGGAACAATGGTGTCTGTTCAAATAAAAAACACTCAAACTCAGACTCACTAATTCACAATATGATAAGTCTCAAAATCTTACCAAGAGTTCCGTTATTGTACATGGTTGTCATGGAGAATGATATCTTCTTGCAGTATGCTTCCAACTGCGGCTCTGGACTGAGGAGGAGTTCTTTCATCAATAATTTGTCGTGGATAATAAAAGCGGGGAGGAGGTTTGTGCAGAGTTTTTACACGTGACATCGATTCGGGGACTTTGATTTTAAATGCATGTGACGTGTTAAGACAAGGTTGCAACACCTCACCTCTCTAAAAATCGTCTTATCAGCAATTAAAATGTCGATGCAAGAATTGGATTCCATACCGAACAAGATATGCTAAAACATTAGCACTTGTAGCTATGAATAAATTGAATAGTTTCTAAAAAGTATATGAGTCCAATAAACTCCCGATCCTTACAAAGTTTCACAGTAAACTAACTAAAATAACCCACAATATACTAACTTCATGTAGAGGTAATGATAAGCGCAGTACTGAGTGAAGAGAGGGCCGTGATCTAGTGGTAGTGGGTGCAGCATGTCAGCTGTAAAGTCCTTTAGTGGCACCAGCGACAGGTAGTCCTGTGGAGACGGAGATTTTTAGCTATCATTTCAACGATTTACTACGGTGGAAGAATGATTTCTCCTGATACTATTATGCGCGTGTAATATCCTAGTCGGATTGAATTACCACTCGAAATAGGTATCAACTCAAATTCTAAATGCCAAAACTCTAAAGTCTATAAAGATTTGTAGATAATTAGCCCTGGAACTGTATCTTCTCAAAACCGATTTTGAATAATCCACTTTAAAAGTTCCTCACCACAAATACGCTTTCAGCGTGAGTTAGAGACAGAGTAACAATAATGATAGTGTTGCCTCCCGACACAGGAAGTGGTGTCCAATACCCAGTCCAGGAAGGGTTGTGTGACACCACTCCGCTTTCAATCCTCCCTGAGATGGTGGCAGCCACTCTACACCCGCTAGCACTGGGACAGAACTTGTACAACACGTCTCCTGTGGAGCGGGAAAGTTTTAATTCTCATAATTATGGGATTTAGCAATTCTATCCGGAATTTTATACGTGCAAATTGTATTATAGTGGAGATCATTAGGTGCATTGCACTAAAATTAACCTATACGTGATAGTCTTATACACTAAAATATTTCAACAGTATCACCAAATGTCTTCAATGACAGACGAAAGCTCGTCTCTGAAAATAGGTATTGTCAAACATTTCATCAAAATCTATTGTTCTGGATGTAAGCAAACTGGTGATTTGTAAACCATCTAAACTGCAATATATTTTCTAGCCCTAAAATACGTCCTATATTTGCCTGCCGATCATAACTTATTCTAATGAAAAAGGTCTCTCAATAAGTGAAACTTACACCCCTCTCATTTTATCTGTAAATATCTATTGTGGGAACTTAATGCCTTACTCTAGTACTTATTCAATTTGACAACATTCTTAGCACAAGCCCAAGACAGACTGCATAAATTCCTTCTTCTTAGCTAAATAAATCCGATCAAGAGTCTGTCCTTACCTCCACTATTGTTCTCATCCTGAATATTTACAAATCCACGTGCAACATCGGAAGTGTACTTGAAGTAGTGGACAATAACCACGTACTGTTCAGGTTCCGTACGTGTTATCGTGTTCTCCAGGATTATCACGGACAGGGATGGCTGAAGAGGAGGGGAGTTAGTTTAAACCGATTAAATGAATGTGATCTCCACCATTTTCCTAAGGATAATGGTAATTTATTTGGCTCAAACTGTTACTCGATAACTCAGTCAACGACAGTTTTAGTGAAAAAGAACACCATCAATAGAGTTACTTATAAAAACTTACCGAGCTTTGGTCGAGGAGCATGACACCAGTGCCATGATAGAAAGTTTCTTGAAGTTCAATCTTCACAGCATCAATAGCACTCTCACTTTCGTACATCACGTAATCTGAATATTTGAATGAATTAATTAATTTGAGACTTGTTAAAGGGCTACATAGTGTGAATTATGAAGAAATTCCTGATGTGCAACATATAGCTATTTATTACAGGTTGTAACAGTAAAATGAGTCCCTCCTTTTGCTCTGAACTAAAAAGAATAGGATAAAGTCAAAAAACTGGGCAATACCTCGGAGATCAATGAAGTCAGACTTGAGGCACTCGTTGTCAGGCCCCTGGATACAGTAGAACTGAGCTTGTACCAGGTCCAGGTTCCAGTCCTCCTCTCGGATCAGCATGATGGAATCCTGGACAGTGCATTTTCAGACGCACAGTTCTTTAGGACAAATATTCTACATTATTATTTCCATAATATAGTTATTCTCCATAATATTTGGAATCTTTAAAAATTTTATGCGTTTTACTAATGAGCAAGAAATATAATCCACCGATTTTACCGCATAGATAATAGTAGTACCGCTGATCTGACATTATCTACATTTTAATATAGATCTATTTCTGCAAGACTTGTGAAACTTTTAAAACTAAGGCGCGGAATTTAAATTCATCATCAATATCAGACAATCATCTATATATTAATATAAGATGTGATTAGCATATTAGAATAAATATAATCAAACAATTATGCTCGGACATTGAAGCCGCCCTAATTCGAGTAAGTCGAGTAATATAATCAATAATATAATTAATCTAGGCTAGACAGCGTATAGAAATTAAACTCACGATAAAGACCATAGAATCTTCCTCCAACTTCAAAGTAAGAGTAGCAGTGGGATCAACAACACTGTAGAAAAGCTTTAGTTTCTTGTTCTTATTGGTAGCTACAGCTCTGCATCCCTCCTCCCATGGACATGGGATAAACTCTATCTCTCCTGTTTCGTCTCCTAGCCTAAAGAGACATATTTACGACAAGTGTCAACATTTGCAATCAAACACAGAATACAGGTCTCCATGCGAATTAAAAAGATCCAAAACCAAGTTAAAATATGTAGTGTTATTTTAAATGATGAACTTACATTCTTTAAAAATATACAATGAACTAACGTGAGGGCACCAGTAAAAGAGTCGTCATAGTTGATGTAATGGTTAGGTTTGTAATACTTTACAATAAGATAGTAGTAAACCCCCGGCTGAAGCTGCAGGTCAACTCGCATCTGAAGTTTAAGTTGTGAGAATATAAAAATAGAATTCTTTCGAACATTTCACAAGGAATTCGTGAACCATTAATCATAAAGCATTTGATGGAAATGGTGCTAATCAGTGCTTCTAATTTTGGCAAGCTAAAGCCTAAAAATATCTCGACAATATACCTTGTTGGTAGCTTTTCCGTTACCATTGCTATCCACGTTGTTGAGTCTACCGAACAGGTTCACTCCCACAAGCTTGGTGTAAGCGGGCTGGAAAACAGGGTTCAACCAGGCTTCAGCCTCTTCGACCAAGTGGAACGAGGCCTCTATCGGGTATCTGTATCTGTTACACCTGGAGAGAGAAAAGAGGGGTTCAGGGAGGGGTTTATTGCCAGGACATTTAGAGGGAAGAGGAAAGGGGAGGGGTCAGGTAAATTGACCTTCTTCTTTTATGTAGGGAGAGAGAGAGAGAGGGGAAGGGTGTGTTTTAAAACGAGGCCACCGTTCTAACTAGCCCGACCAAGATTAAGTTATATATAGCTTATGTGGTAAAACCGATAAGCACCTGGACGTCATCAGCCATAACCCGGACTCCAGCTATACTCGAATATTTACGGAACCGCACCAATTACCCTGGTCTGGCTCCCTCCCCGCGGTTGGAAACTGACATGTTTAATCTGACCAGTTGGCCGGATCATGGTTTTCTCAATTTAATTATGGGCATGCAAGGGCACAGTTTAATCAGTCAGTGGCACTAGATCATGCTGAAAAGGCTCTGCACCACGTGAACCGCAGTGGGAGTCAAACGAGGTCATTGCTTCACTTGAGGCAAATATCCTGGTTAAATTAGGTTCTGGCCACAACTGAATGAGTTTATTGGTGCAAGTGACGGAGATTGGCGACAGAAAAATGGTTGGAATAACGTGAGGAGAATTATTATCGATTATTTTTCGTTTTTATTTAAACACTACCCTCCCCCATTGAAGATATCCCCCGGTACAATATTTAGCGCCATCCAAGAAGCCCGACATAGCTCCGTGAAGTACCGAAGTGCAATTCTGCGGAGCTGAGTCGAGCTTTGAACCCATCATTGACAATAAATAGAATATCTGCGATTATCAATGTTAAGATAATTCTAATTTTAAGGTACTCACAGTTGAGTGAAAGGACCGGGGAAGCAACGAGGAGAGACATCCTGCTTCAGAGAGGAGGTGAAGTAGTACTCTTTTGGGAGAGCTATTGTGTAGTGCTGAAATAAAGTTCCTATGAATATCTCGCTTATTTTATCCAACAAGGACCAAGGGCGACGTTATAAGTTTTCACACATATTATCTTCCTAAACAAGATTAGGTTAAGCTTACAGTTAAGTGTTTACTTTGGGGTCGTACTCAGCAACACACGCACTAGGGTACGTGTCGAATTAAGGAAGAAGAGAAGAAGTAGAATTAGAGTAAGCTTACCTGAATTTAAATCATTCTATTATTCTTATGGAAATTAATAACGTAACATTACGTGTTCCGCCTTTGATACCCAAAAATTACCCTCGTCTATAAAATATCCTACATCATACAGTCTGAGCAATGCAAACCCGTTTTTATAATCTAATCTGAGTAATTTAAAATCCGAGCACAGAGTATTGCGGGAAAGCCGCCGACCCCAACCTCTGGTGATGAAATACTTTAACTTCAACTGTGAACGATAACCCGGGCCCAATACTTCGAACTGAATTTAATTTGTTTTGTCCCCCTGGCGCAGTTTAACGTCAGATAAAAATTTGCCGGGGGGAAATTATTGATAATTTATAAAATACCGGCTGATAAACCTTGATGAATGTAATTTTTAATTAAAGGCAATGAATATCATTGAAACCTGACCCTTTTATATCAGTTATCTGCCGATGAAATGTACCTTTTCCGGGTTTTAAATGCAAAGAATCGGTCAACATTTATCTTAAATCCTGCATTTCAAATCATACTTACTGGAGAGAGTGAAAAGTATCTGAATTAATAGTTACAAATCTGTGTTTCATATAAAGTGAAGAGTTGGAAACTTACTATTTGGACAGATGAAGGGGTCGAGACCTTGATTAGCTGTTTCCCTGAACGTGACACATCGATACCCTTAACACCGAGACTGCCTGAAAATATTGTGGATTTTATAACAAGTTATATGTTTTATAACACGTTACACCTTCAATAAGTTATAACATAAATTCTGTACTCACCATAAACTCATAAACCATAACAAGGTTCATGGTTAAACATTCGCATGAAATATATCTAATAGATTATTCAAATGCTTGACTGATGACATAGTATTGAAGAAGTGTACTGAAGTAGACGAAGGGAGAATACTTAAACTTAACAAAGTATAATCTAACAGCAGAGTCTAGACCGGACTATAATGGTGCCAAAAGAAGGTGCCTTTAACTTGTGCTGCTGCTTCTATTGTCCAAACTTAACACGGGTCAATGGCCCCTGGGGTTGAGTCTTGTAACAAATTATCAACCGGAAGCAGACAAATTTAAACAAATGCAGAATTTTGCGCTAGGGCTGCCATGCTTCACCAGTTCCGTGCACTATCTGCTATCGTAAGTTCAACTTCTCTTTAATTAGCTGCACAAACTTACAGAGTAAGGTTCAGAAAACCTTCATTTTACCAACTGCCGGGTCGGATGGCGGGTTCAGGTGCGCTTTAAAGGAAGTCAAGGACTGATGAGCCTGAGAAAAAGTACCCCCTAAATGAGGGCCAGATCATCTCACCTTCCTGCTCGTGAAAAGTACATGGGAACCAAGCTGGAATCCTTACCAATTGTCTCAACAAACAATGCGTATTTTACGGGAAGCTGGTCTAGTGTGACAGGGAAAATCTGGTCGTACTACATTTTAGTACTCCTTATCAGTGCTTATCTCTTTACGGTGGGCTTATTATTCAGTTATTTGTGTGTATAGTTTGCGTTGTGTTGATCTTGCAATTGCCTGAAGATTCAGTTATAAGAATTACACGAGTGATGTGACGGATTATTAGGAAGTTGCTTTTTATTGTTTTCTTTTTTTTTGTTGTTGTTTTTATCGATTTGCAGTTGCCACGACAAATATCAAAGTAACGGCAGAACTAGGGTTTAAAGTGATCAGGCAATGAGAGAGTAAAAATATCAACTATAGACGAAGCATATTTTTTGACGCGTGACAACAATTTACCAATCAATTTCCAGTATTGACCAATCAAACCCCAGAATCACTGTCACATGTCAGAAATATGCTTCGCATCTCCACCAGAATCCACATATTTTTACCATAAAACCTTTGTTTTTTCAGTTTGTCTTCTTGGTCAAATTCTGCGATCACTTAATCGCAGGTTGGCAAAGCAAACACGCTCTACCCAAGCTATTTCCATCAACTCTGATTAATTCCAATATAATTAACTCTGATTAATTCCAATATAAATTAACTCTGATTAATTCTAATAAAAGCACTACAGTGCAGTGTTCAACAAGATACCCGTTCACACAGGTGTGAATATGCTAAAATATTGACATACAATCTAAACTACTAAACCTCTAAAAACGTTAAACCGACCATAAGATTGGGGAGAGTCCCCTGAAAACAAAGACAGAGTGACAGGATATCAATTAGTAGTCAAACCTGGCATTGTTAAAGTTAGTTCCTCATCACCCTCCATTATACCTCCATTGTTGTGTGATTGGTTTCGCCCCCCTTATTGGGTTTAGAGGAAGAAGCAGCTCTCTTGGTAGCCTGACCCCACCCGGACTAATTGATCACCAGTTAGTTCACGCATTACAGTCACGATCCTTGCTCTTAAGTTAATCTCGCTTTTAACTGAACTTAAAACGTTGATCAACTCTCTACCAGTGTTCCGATCAATCTGTTATTAAACTGACCTTCAGGCTATAATGTTGAGTTACTTGATCTCGTGATGAGGTTTGGTGTCCTTACACTGACTCCAAGCGCTAGAATTTGTAATCCGGACAGTTCTCCCCTTAATCGTATAATTGACATTTCTGTCCAATTTCCTGGATTTGTAACTACTGTTGTACGTTATCTTGCCGCTGTTTTACACTTTTACACTCCACATTTGACCTTTGTCTTCTATTTTCACGTTGTTTGATTTCGAGTATAACTTGCCCCTTTGTTTGGAACCTGTGTTAGCTTGAGGGGAGAGAGTGGGAACAAGGTCCCAAGCTCCCATTATCACACTGCATGTTGGAGACTAATGTCTGCTGATTGGGTCCAGGTTCCAGGACCTGACAGCTTGATTGGGTCACACACTATCCCTGGGACCTTGTTTGTACTTGTTTATGTAGATGTTGATCGACTTGTAGAGCTTCTAATCGAGAGATGTGCTTGTTTATGCAGAGTGTATTGGGTCCCTCGTATTTGCCTGGTTGCTTTCTGTCATTGTTTTACATACCTAGTGACCAATTTGCTTCCTTCACAGCTCTATTGTTTGATACCTCTATTTTTCTAAACGATTCTCATGTTCATGTTTACAGTTCTCATTCGTTTGAGGTTTGCCGTTCTGTTTTCATTATATTGAACTTGAACTTTACAGTTTTGACTAAACACAAACCTCTCCGTTAGAAAGTCTATTATCTGATACACTTACAAGATAATATAAAGACATGGTATAGAAGATATGGATAGAAGATACAGTTGCCAGCATAATCAGAGGGTAAAGTGTGCCCATGGGAACCAGTGTAGTCACCTCAGTAACCAAGTAGGACCTATTAACCAGCCACCTCCAGGACAGTGGTGGGACTCTGTTCTTACTCCACCTTTATCAGCTACTTCGTCACAGGTTCATTACACTCATTATAATATCTACTTGAATTCGTCTTAGTTTCCATTATCTGTCAGTATTTTCCAGACTACATGGTTGATTACTAAATGTTACTTGTTTTATTATAGTTGTAACGTGTTTGACCCGTAACCAGTTTTATCCACAGAGTGGAAGCAGCTGCAGCAGGTTCCTGGAGAAACACGCGACTCCTTGTACGGACGGCTGTAACAAACTACTCAACACCCAGATACCATTACCACACGAGAACAGATTTGTTTGGGACAGGACCCCTTACGATAAACTATGCTATGACACTAGACATCACCCGAGCAACGAACCACCTCGGTGTCACCATCACCCTGGTGATGTAGGTCCTCACCATGGTGATATGGTGGCACGTCACCCTCCTCCGTGCTGTCACCAGCCTGATTATGAGGTTTACACCAGACACCACTGCTGCAGACCCCACCCTCCAGTACAGGTTGGTAAACAAATAGAGTTTTAGATTAGTCTATTGTTCTCAACTCTATTAAAGTATTACCATTCGCTGCTTTATTAAACAGGAATCCCTAATATCTGCCAATTGAAATTATCAATAAACATAATATATGACAATTTATTAATGATTTAATAACAGCCTTTTCTTAGCAGATACATGTATGTGCATGTTACATATCCTATTCCCAGCCAAAGCCGAAAGGATGCTGTTCACGACCAAAACCAGCGGGCTGCGACTGTGGATCAGACCGCGTGTACAGCAGTGCGCGGCACAAGAAGCAACAACCTTGCACGTGCAAAAACTGCGCTCGATCGCCCTCACCGCTGTTACTTTCGACTCCTAACCCCAGGCTCAACTTAAACCAGGTAAATTGTTGCCATTTTCCAGCTATAAATTACCTCTTCGATAAAAATGACACACACAAAGTTTTAAGAATCCCGAATTTTAAACGGTGGACATTAATTCTAACTTTAGTTCAATACCACAGAGCAGTATGAGGAGTCTGGTACCACTGACACTCCACTCCCCGGAATCATCCACTCCAGCTCAGCTTCATTTCCCGGTTAGTTCCATTGTTCATTTCATTTTGTACTCGTTCCAGACTACTTTTGGATCGACCTAGGCAGGGCAGGGTCATTGTTCTTGGTACTGTGAGCTGCTTTCTTATGAAATCTACAGCCAAGTGGAAAAGTATAATGTTATGTTCTATGACATCATAGTTTTATGTTTTACCAACATTTATAATCTAGGACCGGTATATTTTTCTAGATTCTCTGAAACTATAAATAACAGAACACCCCTTAACTTCAGCAATTGAACTACATGTCCAATAATGGTCGAACTAGAGCATTCTCCAGCGAGGCTGTCCTCTCAACTTCCACTGACAACAGGTTTTTAAAAGCTCATGCAGTTTTATGAGATAGTTACACACTCAAATCCTTTCTCGATTGCTTACTAACGTCTCAATTGTGTAGTTGCTTGCTTACTCTGCTATTTTTGGACGTCTGGGTCTAATTAGGTAATAAATTAAATGAGTAGGGAGTCACCGTGAATATGATTTACTTGCATCCGCATGCAAGGAATAGTGACATTAAAATGGCTTCAGTGTTTAAATTTAGGACAGCAAATTTGAATAACGGCTACTTGTACGAGCTCAGAGCTGCAAACTCTGTGCAGTGAAAATTACCTGTGCTGACAGCGACGAAAATATTATTAATCGAATTCGGGAAAGTTTGGATAGATTCGTTCTAATGTAAAAATGTTATAATGTCAATTCTTTTACTGTTTCCTCTTGACACATTCGGGATAATCAAATAAGACGATGAGATTGGCAGACATTTCGGCAATAGTGCCACACCTGAACTACTTGACAATAACATTACATCTCTCTATTTTTAACTTATAAGTCAGTTATCCTGTAAGTCCGAAGATCTGCAAATATCCCCCAAGATGGAAATATGAATTATTATATTACGGATTTACATTTTACAATTCTTCAGAAGCTCAGATTCAGAACAGCCGGATACAAAGAATGCGGTTACGTCCCCAACCATGCCTCCCGAGGTTCAGTCTGATCAGATATCCAGCACAACTCCAACAGGTTATTGACACTTTTAATTATTGGAATTCCTGAAAAGTTAACATGTATGTAAAATTCCTGGATTGTGATCCGATCATTACTCGAGCGTGCAAGCATCATTTCATGAAATTGGATGCCAGTTTCCGGCCACGCCACCACTCATAATTGGTATCTACAATTCTCACTTTCCATTATCAATAAATTTAACAATTGTTACTCTGATCCACTTTAACAACCCTTTCGTTCTCTCTAGACGAAGAAGACAGGAGCTCAGGGATATTTCCAGACGGAGAGAAACCAGGAACCACAGTGAACAGAGCAACATCTCCCTTTATAGTGAAGATGGCAACCCAAGTAGAGCAGCTCCCTAATGACCCAGCAGTTAGATCCCTGGTGAAGAGCATTGTTATGTTCAATGATGTGGAGTATCAAGTACCCACAAAGGTAAGAGAGCAATGAGCAGTGGACCCTAAGTAGAAACATTCCGAACATGCTTTAGATGTCAGATATGTTCGACTTTCCGAAATGTTTTACAGTTTGTACAGTTTTTTTGTAACAACTTTTACCTGGCATAGATTATGATACCGGCTTGTTTCACAAATCTCACTTCCATTATCTCAGATAATCAGAAGGAGCAAGTCTCAGGAGTTCGTTCACGAGGAAAAAGAGAACATCTACTGGGAGATTGAGGACACTCCTCTTAAACCTCCCCAGCAAACTTGCTTGAGGTAGGTTTTGATTCTAGATTAAATATGTTTTAGTACTGGAATCTTTGTACCTAGTCCGTGCTAACTTTATAATTCTAGAATCTTCGAATACATCATTATTTAGATTTCATTTTTGAGTATCCATTTAATATTTAAATCTCTTCAGTTTCTTCTGCACGCCCCGCCGGAAAGAGCAGAGAAACGTATCAGCAGACAGCGTGGGCTCCATTACCCCTTTACTAAAGTGCAAGAAGAGCGGAGGTTTCTTCAAGCTGGGCAGATCATCCAAATCAAAACAGCAAACTTCCTGTCTAAACAGCAGGGTGCTGAGGGGGGTGATGTCGAGGAAAACAGCAGACAACATCACCTCTGTTCAGACGGGGGTGTCACGTGTCAAGATATTCAATGCTAGCAGTGAGCGGTACGAAGCTCCTCAAGGGAGACACACAGTTGCGATACCCTCAACTTCAGATACTAATCAGGTTAGTCTCGGTCGAACTATTGAGACATGACACACAATATGTTAGTTTGCAAACTAAATTTATAATGAAACTCGATCAGCCGGTTCTATTTCTCAAAATTTTGATCCCATTTGACAATTTGCGTAGACTAAGAAATTCTTAGCGCAGCAATATTTCAACATAATCTAACTCTATAATTTTTCAGGCAGCTGGAAGTTCACAGAGGGACACGGAAAAGATCAAACCATCAGGAAAACAGTCTAAATCTTCAGCTTTAGGTAGACTATTCGGCAAGAGGAAATCTGAGGGAGGCGTCCGGTGGAAGGTCAGTACTCACTACTCAGCAGTTTTAAAAACTATTTAAAATTCGTTTAATTTCGTTTTGATTTTTTAAAACCCCTTTACTCAAAATGAGTTGAATATAAATCAGAAACTTATCCCTTTTTTCCTCCAGATCAATCCCGAATACTACATGGTAAGAGACGGATCGGGACCAGTTGACTACGTATTACCTGACGACACATTCGACTCTGTGGAGTTGTAACCCGACGACGAATCGTCAGTCAGCTGACGACAAATGTTGTTTCGTGATATATACATGATATACTTCGGGGATAATCCAAAAATATTGCCATTGGTTGTAATCCAGGCAGAAGATCGTCTAAATCTGAAGTTCTCCCTGTTCATGTGGAATACTTGCTGTAACTTTTAATCATGTTCTACTTTTATTTTGAGTGCTCAAGTTATTGTTGATGAGGGACACTGTCACTATGGCTTAGTGGCTCATAGCCATTTCAGCTTTAATTTTTTCCAGATTTTTATTGATTATATCCGATGATAGCCAACTTTTTTTTAGTTGGCTCAGTATTCACGTTAATTTATTATAACAGTAATACAAAATTATGTGACGATTTCTTGCTATTTCAACAGTGTTAATAAATTAAACTTCAAATTCTTCTTTTTCATTGTTTCTACAAAAAAACAACCCCATCAATTTCCAAGGATTCGTCTTGTAGTACTCGACAATTACCAAAGATTCGTCTTGTAGAACTCGACAATTACCAAAGATTCGTCTTGTAGAACTCGACAATTACCAAAGATTCGTCTTGTAGAACTCGACAATTACCAAGGATTCGTTTTGTAGAACTCGACAGCCATTCCATTCAGTCTGTTGACAACCTCTGCTAGTTGAGGACGGACGTAGTCAGCCATGACGATATTAATTGGACGATGCAGGTGGGTTCCCTTTATAACCTCGTTCCAGACGACTTCCAGACGATCAACAACGTCAATGCAAGAGGCACCCATGGTTTGGATACACCCACTACCATCCAGCCACCAGCGCACAACAAGTCGGATTTGGCGCTTGTTGATCCCATCAATCTTCAGAATCTCCTCAGCAAGTCGGCGAGGGTTGTAGGTTGTACAGTCATAGTAACTGTAGTGACTGTTCTGTGACTCGAACTGAGTCAGAGGGTGAACACGGTAGTCACTCAGCTCGTGACCCCACATGTCTTTGTTCAGGTACAAGACCATCCTCTCGTTGCTTTCAATCATGTACCTGAGTGGTCTCAGAGTTGTGAAGAAGGTCAGCTGCACGCCCTCGGAGCCTTCAGGACCAAACACAGAGTCAAACAGAGGTTTGATTGATCGGAGGAGATGATCTCTGATCTCCCGAGTATGAGGGTAATAGTTAGCAATCTGCATGGATAAGACCTCGTCTCTGTTGCTGTTCATAAAGTCCCTGATCTCAACCAGAGCCATGCGTAGGGATCTCGAGTAAGCCACATGAGAGCTCCCAATACTGGCTAAAACTGGTCCTTCTTCCCAATAAGGCAGAGACTCCTGGCTCTTGTGGATGTAGCTTATATCGAAATCAAAAGCTCGGATCCCCATTTCAAGCTGCTGGGTGATGGTCCTGTCTTGTGTAGCGTAGTGGCACGACGAAACAGCACCTCCACTCCAATAGTACATGGTACTCCAAGCTCCACATCCTGAGAGCCTACTTCCTGCTAGAGTTATCTGGTGCAACTTAAGGTCACATGCTCCCTCAATTCCGTTTACTTTGGTACAATCGTAGGCCAGGGATGCTGGCACTAAACACAGTAGAGCTAAAACGAGCATTTTCTCGCGGATTTAAAATAAAATGATTTGAGAGGGTCTAAAATTTCAAGTGTTGGCAGGTAGACTTCGCGTGATAATCCATTTAGGACCTGTGAATTGTGAACTAGAATTTGATAAATTGATTAACAGCACCAGCTGTGAAAAAACTGAAACTTTTGCGACAGTCAAATAGAATTAGCTGGTCAAGTCTTTGAGGAACACCGACGAAGATCGTTGTTTCGAAATACACATTTACAAAATCATGGTACAAATAAATGGTTTTGATGAGAGCTTTGCTTACCTGCAAGCATAATGAGGCACCTCTCACACTCTGGCAACATGGTCGGCACTGCGATATCCCCGACAAAGACAGAAACACTGGAGTTCTCTGTAGCTGTGTAGTTTAGCACAAGGAAATATATTCCGGGATGAGCAAACTCAATCTCTGTTGCAAACATTACTTGGTCCTGTGTCTGAAATTAAGAGAAGGTGTTTAATTTTGATATTTTAGAACGGTAGAGGCCATTTTACTGTTGGTAATGACAGATGGATGAAGATTAGTGACACCAATATTTAATGATATTATACAGTCCCTACCGTAACTTGCCACATGGTCATTGGTCATTATGTTTTTAGGTTGTATCCAACAAAACTTGAACTCGAGGAGTAAGAGAAATGATGATATTTTAAAAAGTAAGTTATGCTGTGGCAAGGAATATTACTTTAGCTTTTAAAGTGGAATTGATTGAAAGATCGAACCTGACGCTTCATCACGTGATGAGACATTTCCTTTATTATTGGCTCCATTTCAGGGACAGACCTGTAAACATTTAAATGTTGAATTCATGTTCGAGAACTCGATCATAAAACTGTTACGGTTGTACAAATAATCGCTTTCTAAGTTTGAAGTCAATCAAAGTTAACGTAGGAATTGAATTTAGAGCTAGTCCTACAATGTAAGTCTCACTTGTCAGTAGTCACTAACCTGAGTTTACGTTTCTTCCCCATATTCTTTGCTTTTCTTCTCCTTGCCATGTTCTGACTAACACCCTCTAGGAATTAAATTTAACGTTATTTTCTTCAAAAGAGCAGTCAGAGTGAAAAATTGGTTATTATGTAAATGCAACAAAAATTCATATTTTCTAGCACCAACCTATTTCCTCGAAAGAAATGGGAACTGGATATTCATTGAAAAGAAGTTCAAATCTGGGTGGTACATCAGCAATGTTATGAGGTTCAATCACTCCATTTATTTCTGCTGGTCCCTCCTCTGACTCTAGCTGGAACAACGCAATTTTCTGCTCAGTGAAACATGTTTTAATGATAAAGGATACAAAATTCTTGATCTAAAATTTCCTATAAATATTCTATGAAAAAAAGGAGATACTATTATGTCCTGTCACTCCTGTATTATTTTGTACATAGCCTACATTTAGACCGCTGATAGAATCCTCAATGACCAAGTTAGACTTGATATGATAGAGAGCGGGAACGTAGGTTCCAGTATTGGGTCGGTCACAGTCCCTGCCAGTGATTCCCTCCCTACAGCGACACTGTCCAGTCATGTAGTCACACACTGGTGACAAAGATCCTCCTAAGTCACAAGAACACCCTGCAATATTTTGTGAATTATAGAAGGCAGTAATGATCAAAGAACATATGCATTTACTATATGTGACCACAGGGGAAGGATTATTTGTATGGAATGTTTCTGCTATTATTTTATGATATCACTAGATTTATTACTCACGTTGACATCCATAAACATTTATGGATGATAGATTGTAGAACTGTGGATAACACGCATCACAATTTGTTTGTGCTATGACGCTTGGTCTGCAGTTGCATGAAGGAGATCCTCTATTTACCTGCATAAGATGGTTTAAATACTAATAAAATCAAACCTATAACCCATTGGCTTGATTTAGATAATAACTAAGTAGGCATAATTCAAAAGACGATTGATTATTGGTAATGCATTTTTTTGACTTACAGTGTTACATGTGGAGAGGGCACCTATAGTCCCAGACAGTTCACAGTCACAATCATAAGTGGCACCAGTGCTTAGGAAAGCCAGAAGAAATAGAAGAGACCACATTTCTCATCTATAGATTCATAGCTAAAAGCAGATCAATGAATAAATATTAAATAGCTGCTGGATTCCCTATGATCTAACATTAGAGAATACTCAACAAAATGTCTGATGCCTCAAATTGAAGTGCTTCATTCCCTGAGCTTGGTCATAGAAAATTGTTTGATGTCAAACAGGGTGTTAGTGTATTACAGTTCTTTTTTCTTTTTGTCATCAACAGAATATTTTGGCATGGCCAAAAGAATATAGGAGTAGACAAAATTATACATTACTTATCATATATACAGTGTGTGACAAAGGTCAAGAAACTCCAGTGTTCTTTTCTTCCAGAGCGGGTTGTTCCTTATTATTACTTTTAAATTTGATGGAGAAATAGTTACTGTATATTTTTCTATGTAGTGTGATGGTACTTTGAAGACATTAGTGATGATGTTATGTCATAATTTTTACTTTACTTTACTTTACTTTATATGCATAGGATACAAAAAATACTATCTCTTTTGACTTTTCGTCTTTTATGTACAGTCAGTGGCAGCTTAGTGTAAGGGCACTGAGCTTCACCCCAGTTACACTCTGTTCGTTGTATAAAGACGGTTCACTTTGGTGGAGGCTTCAGCATCTTGAATTAGAGGGGCGCCAAATCGTCGTTTGAATGTGGGACAATTTCAAAAACTTAACTAAAGTACTAGTAAAACTGCACATTTTGATCTAGATACACACTTTTTTAGAGATTTTACCGGGGTATCCTCTAAAATCACCTAATTTGTTCAATTTTAGGAAGGGGCACCAAAAGGGGAGCGGGCGCCAACAGGGGGCGCTTTTTCAGCGGGGGGCGCCAACAGGGGGCGCTTTTTCAGCGGGGGGCGCCAACAGGCAACGTTTTGTCCCCCCTGTATCGTCAGGACGATTCACCATAGTGAAACGACCGTGGGGGTCACAACGTGATACAAGCAACGTTAGGCCACTACACTGGGGATCACCCTCAAATATTCAAGTCACCTGATCTTCCGATTTCTGACCCAGTAAAGTGAGAACATTAAGGTACTCTCCAGGCATCCTTATAATAGAAAGCTGCCTTGGCGCTTAGATTTTATTTCGGTAAAGCTAATGAGGTTTTGCTAAATGTTTGACATACCACATTTGTAAAAATGGCCACGGGCCTAAATATTACATATCAATGAATTACAATTCATTTACATTACCAATATTAATATACCATACCAGATACAGTATCGATACTGCAAATATATCTGCTATTTATTATTGATTATATAGCTCTTGATAAAAAGATCCATCCACAAAACTACAAACTGCAAAGCACTCACTATGTCTCTGCAAAGAAACGTGCTGGATAGCTTGACATTCAATATTTCCTTCAACAAACTTTCTGGAAGTGGTAATGACGACGTGCTCTTTTAGTCAGACCTAGGTAACAAAATTAAGCTTGATTGGGGAGCACAATCAACGATGTAAAGCGCTTGCTTCCAAAGCCAACTCAGGCTCCATAAGACTTACATATTAATTGACAATGTTAAGTCTTCACAGCTCGGCGCAGCTCAAAAGTGCATTACACCGATTTAACAAAATGCATTGCGTCGATCTAACGGCAAGAAAAATTGGTTAATGCACGGCGCGGCATAACAGTGCATCGCACTGCCAACAATTGCTCTAACCAGAGCCCTCTCACTTGCAGTAGCGTGCGACCGCCGAAGCGCGCGTCACGCAGTACGCGTATACACATGGCTATGTAAAGCCAACAACATGACAAACGAACATGTAATTTTACTGAGTGCCACTCACTAACAAAGCTTATTTTACCAATAATTGAAAAACCATGCATGATTCATGATCAATGATAGTAATAATATTTTTTGATTTTTTGTAGTGTGATGGGTCGCGCCGCGCATCTGCACTTCGTAATAGGCGCAATTTATATTTCTCCCCAAATTGCGCGCATTGCTTTAACTTCTTTCAAACTTCATGAATCGAGATAAATTATTTTGCAATGTATTCAGAGTTAATATACGCACTTATACAAATCACTTGAAATACTTTTGAAAGAGAAAACGCTACTGAAGTATTTCTACATTAAAAGCACAATAGCGTGAAAAGCTTTTGTCGAGGTGCCTCAAAAATGATCTTAAACGTTTCCCAGTTTTATTTTGGTCGCAGAACGCCAACTTAGTACACAATCAAAGAAGTTATAGACATATTTCATTGTATCACGAGGCCTCGTGACCCCCACTGTCGCTTCACTATAGTGTATTTTCTTCACTATCGTGTATCGTCTTCGACGATATAGGGGGAGCCGCGCACTTCGTGCGCGGCGGGTCATACAACGTGTGACAAATATTTTATACGTATCAAATTTTGTAGGTTTACAACCTACCAGTACGCGCGCCGAGTTGGACTCGGTCAATATATGGAACAGATATTTTACGAGTATCACCCGTTAAATCAAATTGGATGTGCTTTTGGTGGAGATATAACGTGCGCCATTCGTAATATCGTAGCCTATCATAGCTTTACTGGGCCGCGCTCAGCCTGTCATTCCGCCGAATCTCTATTTTATGTTTATGAACATGATAGCCTGAGGTCCGGGTCCCCAGGTAAATCAAAGCTACGTCCTACGAACTGGAATTGAATTGTATTGCACGTCGTGACCCTCACGGTCGTTTCACTGTAAAGTTTCTGCGATATAGGGGAGCCGCGCACTCGTGCGCGGCGGGCCATATAATGTATGACAAGAATTGAAAGGATTAGCATTATCATATGTTAGTCAATATACAATGGCCGGTGCGCGCTTCGTGCGTGGAAAGTGTTATACGTACTATACGGCGGCCTCCGTGTACATGTAGTTACTGGGCGGCGCTGAAGCTCAGCCTGTCTTTCCGACTAATCTCTATTCGGCCGGGCTGAGTGAATTACGAACATTCACATTAAATTAAGCACATTTAACACAAGTGGTTGCAATTCAATAAGCATTATTGGATGCTAGGTGCAACCCAGTTTGCAGTAACGCATTCTCAGATAACCTTACTGCTTACTGGTTGACCATTGTTAATGATCAGGCCCGGCGCGCGCTACTTCGTAGCATTTGCCATCGGGCCATTTCGAGAAGAAAGCGGCGCGCGCTACTTCGAAGAAATTTAGACGAGTAACATCCGTCAACTTATTGGCTGAGCTGGCCGTGTTACTAGAGGTGGTTTAATTTAAACAAATGGCGCGACCTAGCGCGCGACATTAAATGATTTGCACACGTGGCACATTCCAATCTTCGAGCAGCCAGCACGTGACATGACAGAATTCAGCCAATCAGAGGACAGGAATCCGCATAGTTTAAGTTGGAAACTTTTGATCGGCCCAAAATTTACTGAGCCGCGCTCAGCCTGTCATTCCGCCGAATCTTTATTCGGTATGTTCGTTTATTAAAATGATAGCCTGAGGTCGGCCCTAGGTAACCCAAATGCAAATGTGACTTTTCTAGAGATTTTGAGATAATTCAAAATCTATGTTTGATGTTGTCCCGGCCCTAATTTTCCTTTTGGGGAGGAAACATTATTTTTACATTGAACATTTTTGATTTGCAAAAAACCGAAAGTCTCTATCTCTTTTACTTTCTGAGCTAGTTAGGCCCGTGCTTTACGGGTGATACTCGTAAAATATTTTTTCCAATTATTACCGTCGACGAGTCCAACTCGGCGCGCGCGTTTTGGTAGGTTATAAACCTACAAGCCCCAGCCAGTAAGGTTTCGTGGGTTGCGCTACAAAATTAAATTACGCGTACTACGCCAACTTTGTATCACGTCGTGACCCCTACGGTCGTTTAAATTCACGATACAGGGGAGCCGCGCACTTGTGCGCGGCGGGTCATACAACGTATAACAACGCCTTTGCATAGCCATGTGTCTACGCGTACTGCTTGACGCGCGTTATATATACTGCAAGCGAGAGGGCTCTGGTTAAAGCAAAACAACGCCAGCTCAGCTCACGCTTAACGGGTGATACTCGTAAAATATTTGTTTCAAATATTAGTCGACGAGTCTAATATGGCTTTGATTACGCTATACTACTTTAAAGAAATTGAAACGAGTAATCAGATAATTGACGATGTCAATTCATCGCAGCTCGGCGCGGCACAGTAGCGCATTTCGCCTATCTAGCTGTGAGAAGCCTCATTGAGTGTGCGGCGCGCGGCACAATAACGCATCGCGCTACAACTTCAGTATTATCCATTACCAACTACTGCCATATCATCGAATCGGCATAATCAGTGAAAATGAGATACTGCGCGCGAGTGCAGGGTGTTATGGAGTAATTTATCATTTATATCATTTATCCCGGAACCAAACAAATGAATTGCAAATTGGCTTTATCTCAATAAATCATGCAGTTTATTCGTGTTTTGTGTTTGACCTGTTTAAAATAATAATAATATTGATAATTGATGTTACCAAATTGCGATTCAGATGATTGATGATACAAAGTAACAGTAAACTGAAACAAAAGTTATCGCTTGATCTTAACTACTGAAGAAGATTCACTTTTGTACCGACCACTCGTTCGACCAATTGGCACAAACGGAGGTCACATTTTGTTAACAGTTAATCATTCAATGAATACTTTTTTTGGGCCATTCTTGAACTTTACCAGAATGCAGAAATCGAAACGCATTGTTAGAATTGGAATTTAATACTAATAGTGAATAGTGTCCGTGTCCTGGCGATATGCTGACAATTTTAAGTTGCATAATTATACTATTTATATTTTAGAAGCATCACACTTTATAGCTTCAAACAGTAAATAAGTTAGCAAGCAAATAGCGATTTTCCCAATTATTTTATATTCATTTTGTTCCTAGTGCTCTAATTTAACAAGGAGCATTCACGATTAGGAAGAAGACCCACTTAGTAGCTGTAGCAACGCATCGTCCTCTCCTAAATATAACACGTATTTCACTATCTATCCCCCTTTGTAACTTGATATCCGACTGTGTTTCATTACGTTTAGTAGAGCCAGCTTATGGTGCCCTGACCGAACATGTGATTCCTAATCCTAGTATTGTCTCACCTTCTCTTTTTAGTAGGAGCTTGCATCTGTTACACGTTCCCTTCATTAAAATTCAATAACAATGCTGCTGACTTTCAGGTGTAGGTGTGTTGTGGTAGTCATTTAAATTCAGAAAATTACTTATATTGTTGTCTGTTGTCTGTCGCCTCATGATTGATGTCCTGATTTGTATTGACTCAAATTATCGGCAATTCGATCATGGAGCACGCGTTGATAAGATTACTTGCTAATCAATATTCGATTAACAATGGTATAGAATATACAGACCAAATAGAACATTCTAGTCAAACTGCAAACTCATGCGCCATGGTAACTGGACATCACAGTAATTAGGCGGGCTTCTATCTACCCACAATCCACATAGTACCCACATGCAGTCCACAGTCCACACGTTCTATAACCTGTAATAGTTGCCACTAGTACAATCGCGTGTTGCTCATTTGCTTGCAGTTGCATGCAATACTTTTTATTTTACGTATTCTTCGTGCGTGTGCTTAATGCTTATTGAATATTATATCTACTCATGAAGACTCAAACTCAAAGCATTGCAGCTAAAAAATAAAGGGCTTTCCATTGAAAGTAGAGCATGGACCTTGCGTAGTCGACACACTTTTAATATACATCTATAAACATTGCTTATCAGAGAAGCATGTCGAGCGCAAGGGCAGCTTGCCGCTTCACAGCCCTTCTGCCACATATGTTGCTTGAAATCTCTCTCTCTCAATTTTCTGCAATAGCACGATCAGGCAATTAATATTTTAAAGTTCATTGGAAAATATGATGGCGTTGTTCAGATCGCAGTGGATGTTTCATGTTTGGCTTAAAATTGTCGGCTCTCCTTGGAAATTGATTTATTTTAAAGCTTTTAACATTTAGGCTGCTTAATTTTAAGGATTGTCCATGTTCTCTGCAAATATATCTGCTATACATGTTACATCGTTCGACTTAATCGTTAATCTATCAAATTGCCAGGACTAGTACGTTTTGTTACACCAGGCCATGGTTTGTACAGCACAAAGGAAACTTAGTCTTTAAATTAATAACAAATGATTGTTAAATCTCTTTGTTCCCTTTTAAATTTCAAATGATGGCTACACTTCAGCTGTAACGGTGTGATTGCATTTGTAAAATATTAAATCATAATTAGATTTATTCCAGCCTACAAGTACATCGTTTCAGTTTGACATGCTATTCATGCTCATTTTTCTGGAGAGTTTTAAACATTTTCCGGTGCATCTGAACTATATTCGTACTTATCTCTCTTTTCACCGCTCCACGTTTCGTTCGTATTACGGTTAACCCCACATTCTTCCAGAATGTTTTTCAGTACATAGATATTTCTAGATGTACGAGCACCCACCAGTTAATCAGGAACCAACCATGTTCATTAAGGTTCTGTACGGAGGTAAGATATACTCTATCTGTTTGGAATTATCATTATGTATATGGTCAGTTAATAAAATATGATGCTGTATGGGAGATAACTTAATGATCACTTCTGAAATCAATACTAATCTTCAAACAAGTTTGTTTAAATAAGAACCCAGAATATTCGATTTTTCTAACGTAATAGAATACCTTTAATTAAGATTTGAAACTGTAACCAAGGAAACGATATGTTACTTAATAGCATTTCCAATTTAACAGATAACGAAGAGGCCCTGTTCAATCCCAACTGCAGAACTCTATTATTGTTAGAACACATAAAGGAAATAGTCGGCTATCAGCCCGAGAGTAAGTATACTTCATTTCTAGACTGATTCCTTCATGGAGATTCGTTATCTCATTACTCTCCAAAGACCAGCAGGTAAGATTTTTTAACAGGATACATTCCTGGAACGAGTGTACCGTTATAATTACACTGACATCTTTTCATTCTGCAGCTGACATTGACCTATCCGATGAGAACGGGTTTATAGTACACTTACTGAGGAGCCCCCCTCTTCAATATGCTTCAGACGTTTTGGAATCAAGAAGAACGTTCATACTTGTGAAAGTTTCAAGTAAGTTCCTTGCGATAGCATCAAGAAAAGTGCTTTAATGTTTCGACTTTAAACTTTTTTATCGGTTTAGTAACGCACCACCCACTGCTCATGCACCATAATGATTTAACACTTTTGATCGAGAATGATTTGAAGATCTATACGTACAACTTTAATGATGATTTAATCGCTGAGAAAGATGCCAGAATTGACTTCCCAAACAATGTGCTCGCATTGGTCACATTTCCTCCACAAGCCTCAATCATAACCACTTTGTGGTACAATATTTGACCACTCTTTCACGATAAATTTGTGCCAGCTTCAAATGTTTCGGACTTTTCGGCCGCAACAAAACTAATTTACGGTCATTTAACACAAAAACGCCACCTGGACTAGTATTTATTTTCTCATATTTATTCTTGGATAATTGAAGTGGTTCCGAACTTATCAAATGTTTGTGCAAGTGCCGACCATTTTCAAGCCTCAAAAATGAAGGAGCCAACATGTCGATCTTATAGTAAAATTTGTTTTCTTCAAGTGCAAAACTTGGGAAGTTTATTCTCTCGTTTCCTACAGAAAATGAGGACGGTACAGAGTCAGTGGAGCCAATGCTGAAAAATCTCCGAGACAACAGACCTAATGCTTTCGGTACGTAAACTTAAAGATCCCCCAAATCAGTAAATTACTTGTGCGGCTACCATTAAAGATCCCCCAAATCAGTAAATTACTCGTGCGGCTACCATTAACTCGTGTGATTATATGATTTTATTTTTAATGACAGTAGACTGAGGAACTCAATAAGTGACAGGAATGATTTTCTGTCCCAGAACTGTGTGCCCCAGAGCTCTTATTCTAGCCTTTAAACACTATCCCCAACTCTTACCCTGGGGTAGGGTGATGAATCAAGTTTCATATCTGAAGATAATGAACGTTTCTATTCAGAGAGATTGACGAGCACAAACTTCGACAGCAGGGGGCAAGCACTAGACGCCGGGGACAAACGAGTCAACAGGCAGAAGAGCAAGAAGTCAGGGAAACGAAGATAGAGAGAAAAATACTGGATGCTGGATTGCAACTTCTTGTTCTCACTGTAGAGTCTAGATCAGCTATACTGGGTCCACAAATCACGGGATAAAGGCTCAAAACAACCGATCATATTGGAGCGATGAAGGTGATTCGAACCCGTTCAAAAGACTGTGATATCGGCTTACTCCCAATGATTTTACCAGAGTCGAGTGATAGACACAAATCAAGAATTCTTTTGTAAGGGTTAAAACGAAGTATTGTTAATTTAACAAAAAGTTAAATTGATACATGTAACACACATCATTAAAATGGTAAAATTTTAAACAATTATTTTACAAAAAACAGCATTATAAATGTAGATAATAAGGTTGGGGGTATCGCGTGTGTTTATACAAGAAAAATGTACAGACACTCGTGAATCACTGTATTATTATATCAGAAATAAATTCAACCAAACTTTATCTGGTGAAAACCAAAATCATAATCTGAAGAGGAATCAATCAAAACCCTCTGATTGGACCCCATAGATTGAAGTTCCGATTGAAACATGCCATCAAATCCAATCAATTAATTCAATTCAGATGATCAGATAAACAAATTCATACTTATTAATCCCACAAGTCGTATTTGATAAAGATAATTCTTTGCATAGTGCTGGAAAGCTCAAACATGTACAGGGTGCCACAAATTTCCCTCGATTAAGATTCAAGAAGGTTGAAAGAGTAATATTGCAATGGAGGGATTCACGATGGACAGGAAGGGACAAGGAAATACTGGGCTACCCTGTGCACATTATATTGCTATGGTATCCACATTCGATCGTCATAAGTCCAAGCAGCATATTGAAAATTTGATCTCTTTGTCGGCACAAATGACTTCACAATCGCCTCAATAAGCTCAGATTCCCAATAAAAGTTCCAATATTGTTCACTTAAAATACTTCAAGCTCTCAGGTTTCCTTCATTCCACCTGATCCCAAACCCCTTGTTATGTTTACTTGCATTTATTGTAGTATGCAGACTGTGTCTCAGATATTACAGTGGCACCACCACCACTTATTCATAATACATTTAAACATGCAATGTTCGGTCAATCAATAAAACGTAAACCGTGTAGTACAGTGCTGGAGCGAGTTGTACACTAGAGAGAGCGAAGTACTGACGTCATTGAATGCGGGAAGCTAACTGCAATATTATAAAACTGCAGTGCTGTAATATATATTCCATACATATATATACTGTGACGACAGGACGTAGGAAAGTCTTAATTATCCTCGGAGATTTTCATGTTCAGAGGAAGAGAGAATTGCAATAATAAATTACTGAGGAGGTTTTCAGCAAGTTGTGTAAGAGGAAGTGGTTAGGTGTTATCGCTGGCCTTGTTCCCTCCAGTACACTGTATCCAGTGTTCTGAAAACAGTGTGAGCTTATTGTTATGACAAATAAAGGCTATCACTTGCGGCTGTGAAATACCGTTGAATTCCGCGAATGATGTTATGACTACGATGATTTCACCGATTACGTAATCGCTTTGGTAATTTTTCCTGAAATCTGTGGAACCGTAGACGCGCTAGAAGGAAAACGGAGTTTCACCTTACAAATAAGGATTTATTATACCTGTGTTGAATTGTTGATGATATCTGAGCCAGCTGAGGTGGTGAGTTTTGCCACATTTCCCACACATGATGGTCCGCTCGTTGATGCACTCACTGCCTTCGTACAAGGTCTCCACTTCTGCAAATAAAATCCTTTTAACTTTTGCCATGGAGGCAGCGGCCTTTCAGAGCCTCTTGTATGAGATTCACGAATCAATTAAGAATAGATTTCGCTGAGTGGTGTGTGACGTCAAAAACTTTGCGATTCCAAAAAAGGCCTAATAGCCAAGTTTCGTTAACGATTTTCTGACCAGCCCATTCTAAGAGATAGGAATGGTCGCCTAAAATCCACGAGCGCGCGTTAGAGAAAAACATCACGTACGTGGCGAGATTTTGAAAATAAAGAAATGAGCAATTGTTCAAGCGCGTTACGCGAAGTGATAAAAAATGAGTACGGATTTGTATGCCCCACGGCGTTGTTTTGTAACAAAGATTTCCTTATCTTTGATGGAGAAGACCGGTAAATTTGCCGGAAAACATTGTCTAAATAACGTGCAAAACTTTCAGAATGATTAGGATGTAGCACCTAGTATCTTGCAGATACCATCAACATTTCCGGTTGAGATGATCAGGAAAGCACGCCCTCTGCGGAAGTGGCAGTTCAATTAACACAAAAACAACCAACCTTTCTTAAATACATTGAAATCCGACTCTTGTTTTAGGGTCCTGCTGTACTCGAGACCGCTCTTGAGCGCGTGCATTAAATTACTATCATCTATCTTCTTTTGGTTAGGACCATACCATCTTCTACGCTTATTTACCATGCTGTAATCACATAGATCCATTTCTGAAATAAAAAACATTAAACAAGTGAAGCATGATCTAATCTATTTTGAGAAGATTTGCTCTGCAGATCGTGTTAAACGTTTTAACATGGTTTAAGAAACGGAGAAACGAAACTTCTATTTCTAGAATGATCAAGACAGCGTTCCGCCCGAATGTTTAGTCTGTTGTTACGAACAAGAATATATTCTATTGGTTGCCGTAAAACCGCATTAAAAGATAATATAATCGGTAATATAATTAGTGCTACAATCGGACAGGTCCGATAATGGCACAAACTTAATAAAAATGCAGCAGTCAAACCAGCTCAAATAAATCAACCCAAACTCAAACCAGCTCAAATAAATCAACCCAAACTCAAACCAGCTCAAATAAATCAACCCAAACTCAAACCAGCTCAAATAAATCAACCCAAACTCAAGCCAGCTCAAATAAATCAACCCAAACTCAAACCAGCTCAAATAAATCAACCCAAACTCAAACCAGCTCAAATAAATCAACCCAAACTCAAGCCAGCTCAAATAAATCAACCCAAACTCAAACCAGCTCAAATAAATCAACCCAAACTCAAACCAGCTCAAATAAATCAACCCAAACTCAAACCAGCTCAAATAAATCAACCCAAACTCGGTACCTTTCAAAGAATTGTTGAGGTTCTGGTTAGGCTCAGAGTCGTTACTATTCTCATTAACATTCATCACCGCATTGAATTCCTCGTCTATATGGGTACTGGCTTTCAGGGCATCTAGTTTCTTCTGAAGGGGTCCTCGCCGTACATTCATTCTTAACATTCCTCTCAGGTTACTTCCACTAGCGTTACCTGAAGAGAAACCGGTTATAGCTCAACTTTTAACTTTTAAACTACGTCACAGCTTGATACAGTGTCAAAGAGTAGCGGTATATCAATAGAATTCCAGCACAGATATGTGAATAATATCATACACCAGTAAAGACATATTATTGAGTTGAGCACGTCAGCACTCAATAGTAACCTCAATAGAGAGAGAGATAGCTCAGACAGCGCACCGCAGCTATCATATCATCTCCACGACACATCAGTCTTGGACAATAGCGCCGCGGACAATAGCACCGAACAAAGCGCTCACTAATTATACAATTCTTAGCCAGATGTGCAATGCAGATTACAGATATGATGGGTGACGCAATCAGGATACTGTAAAGTAATTGTTTGGTTGAGTAGAAGGTGAGTGCTGTATTATTGTACGGTGAGGGAAGGAGGGTGTTGTCATCAGGAAGTCTCACCACCATCTCATTCTTACTAACACTTTCCCTTTTTTGGGAGAGCTTTGTAATACAGAGATCAGAGATAATGGAGAGAGTTTGTGTGCGTAATAATGTCATGAGTTACAGAGTTAATTAATAACTACTGATTGTGGGGATAACAGATAACTATCGACTGGTTAGTATACAACATAGCTTTGTCAAAGCAGTCTCCAACTGATCCCCCAATTCTTTGCTTTACCTCCGATTCACAATAATACAATTATGAGATATAGATGTTACGTATTGCGTACCTGGTAGGTAATGTACTGACGAGGAAACCTTTAAACCATGACATTAAGTGCTCTGTCTGACTAAATGCACCACCAGGTAACTACTTACCTATAATATGATCTGGTAACACGAACACCTGTTCGGCGAACAGTTGTTCGCGAACAGGGGTCAGGCTATCTAGATACTGCCAAACTACTTACCTATAAAACACCTTTATTAGGAGCCAAAACTCTTTACTTGTTGGCTTTAGCTTAAACGTGCAGAAAGTTCCAGAACTACTATAGAGGGAGGGAGAGAGGGAGGGAGGGAGAGGGTAGGAACAGTTTAATTACCATGAAAGCAGTTTAATACTTGTAACCGTTTAAAATAGATAGAATACCACTAAACAGGTACGATGTGGGCGGAGTTTTAATACGGAACTCACGATTTCATAACCTTAAAAGGTGATTTTCGGGATTTGAATGAACTATTTTTAGAAGTTTAAATACTGATCCAGGCATCTCCTTATTTATAGTATTATTGATTATTTTGCAGTTTATAGAGTTCATATTAATGAGGTAACATTTGGTCATGTCTGTTGGTTGTTCGTGTCAGCACCAACGTCAATATACGTGAAACTATCAAACTATACCGTTACAGGTAATACTGTAATCCCCGGATGAAGACGATTAACGGAAGGTGTTTGGAAGCGCCCGAAATAGCATCTAGTTGTATTATTTTATGTTTTAAGAGTCTAGACCCCATCCAATACTACAAGAGGGGGGGGGGGGTTCCAACCTCATTCTACCTCATCCCAATGTTGCCTTTTTTGGGTGCCCTAAATGAGGCAAAATGAGGCAAAATGAGGCAAATTTTGACAATTTTTGACAATTTTATCTCAGTCCCTAAACGTCCAAGAGACTTGAATTTTAGTTTAAAATAACCGCAAAAGCCACATTAACATACAAGTCATTGTAAAGCAACATAAGGTCTCCAGTGCTTTGTTTAAGGACACGTTCATTTGAGTTTGAGGATATTGGTAAACAAAAATAATAGCGTTTTTGACGATAGTGGCTTAATTTTGACATCTATTAACCTAGCACGTTTAGAAGTTCTGAACATTAGCCACGTAACCCATACTCCCATATGCACTGCTCAGAAAGAAAATCTATTGTTGTTAGGCACTATAATGTTTCAAATGTCACATTTTGTGTGACTTAGTTAACTGCAGTTGTCTAATTATCATTCCTTGGTCTGAAACATAGTAGATTAGGTCAATCTAACAATTATGATACAACATTGGTTAAAGGGCACGGATCGAACGGTTACAAGGCAATATTCAGGTAACTTTGTCACACTCAGAATACCATACCTCTATTCTACTGTGAGGTGTCCTCAAAACCCTTTTTACTCATTATTTGATGGTTGATCTACCAAGTACGGAGTACCAATCATAGCCCTAAAATATTTTGCTTTGAATAGTTAGCTAATACAGGCACTTGGTTATTGGGAAATGAGGTTAATTCTGTCACAATATATGGAATTTAAAATTTTGGGCGAATTATTTATATCTGATTTTGGTTTGAAAGGCGGGAAAACTTTACATGATGACAATGTAGTTGATGCAAGTTAAGATCAGTTGATGTTTACATTGTCACAAAAAATTATACGAAATCGTAAATAGGTTAAAAACAATGATTACATAATGAAATAGTCTCTTATAATAACTCTTATAATAACTGATGTGACAAAGTAAACATGTCTTGCCCCTATTTTGAAGATCTATATATTCTATAACTCTATTAGAATTCAACATTCTTTCAGAAAAAATTGGTAGAATATTGTCCAGAACATCAGAGCTCAAGTTTAACAATTTTAGGTTAAATTTGCCAAAGTCACTAAAAATGTGACAAAATTAACTTTTCCTGCCCAAAGAATTTCAAGATAGTGTGTAAAAATTAGCATAGGCTGCCTTATTACCTAAATAAATCAATCCAAACTACAAAAAAATGTATGTTAATGTGATGACGATTACCTAACTGTAATAATAACTGATGTGACAAAGTAAACATGTCTTGCTCCTATTTTGAAGATCTATAACTCTATTAGAATTCAACATTCTTTCAGAAACGATTGGTAGAATATTGTCCAGAACATCAGAGCTCAAGTTTAACAATTTCAGGTTAAATTTGTCTAAGTCACTAAAAATGTGACAAAATTAACTTTTCCTGCCCCAACAATTTCAAGATAGTGTGTAAAAATTAGCATAGGCTGCTTTATTACCTAAATCCAAACTACAAAAAAATATATTTTAATGTGGTGACGATTACCTAACTCTAATAATAACTGATGTGACAAAGTAAACATGTCTTGCCCCTATTTTGAAGATCTATAACTCTATTAGAATTCAACATTTCACGATTGGTAGAATATTTTCCAGAACATCAGAGCTCAAGTTTAACAATTTTAGATTAATTTGTCAAAGACACTGAAAATGTGACAAAATTAACTTTTCCTGCCCCAACAATATCAAGATAGTGTGTTAAAATTGGCACAGGAATTAGGATGCTTTATTGCCTATATTAATCGATCCATACTTCGAAAAAGATCGGTTAATCTGATGACGATTACCTAACTCTTATAATAACTGATGTGACAAAGTAAACATGTCCTTCCCCTATTTTGAAGAAGTATACCTCTATTAGAATACTATTATGTAACTTTATCATCAACAAAATTTCGATAAACTAGTTATTTTGCCAGCAAGGAGCTGACAGAGTTATAATAATTTTTTGTGACGAAATTACCCTATTTTTGACCATGTTGCGGTAGTTTAATTGTGACACTGTTAACATATTACCACCCGATAATGATTTATGTGACTGGTGCATGGTACTAGCAGTGTTGTTTGATCCATAGTACGTAATACAAAGGGTTTAAGCAGGTATATAATTATTTGTTCAATTTCACACATGTTCAGATATCATCAAGATTATGTGACAAAGTAAACTTGTCTGTGCCTTTGTAATTTAATTCCTTGCGACTATATGATATAATAACAATTCCTAGCACTTCCTGGCCATTAAATAAACCTACACTACTCAGCATTGCTTATCAGGGTTCCCTAAACATTGTTCACATATTTTCTTAAATGTGTGACATAGTAAACCTGAGTGCACCATCTAACGAAAAAAGTCGTAAAATATGTAGGTAATGGTCATATGTACCCATCCAATCAACTGGACACTCAAAATTTTGGTCAAAAACGGCAGCAAGGGGTCCATATTTACTCTGTCACATGTTTATAGTGTGACAATGTAACCATTTCCGTGCCGGCCGTATTTAAGCGATATCTTATCACGTGATTAAGATATCGTTATGTGACAAAGTTAGCCTAGAGGATGAGACGATTATCCTAACCATCAAGGGTTTGTGTAATTTCATAGTGTGACAAAGTCAACTACACTGTGCCTTTTAATAGGGTCACTTATATTTACCAATATCCTCAAACTCAAATGAACGTGTCCTTAAAAGATATCGACAAAAAACTGTTTTTTTGGCTCAGCGAGCTAAAAATAGCACTCGATTTTGGTAACTTGAGCTAGGAAGGTCGTAGAGACTTGAATCTTAGCTTAAAACAACCGCAAAAGTCACAATTATTTACAACTTATGAAGCGATATAAACTCTTTAATGCTTATTTGTAGAGAAATCGACAAATATCAGTCATTTTGGCTGCACGCACAATGAAAGGTACCAAATTAGGCAACTAGTTTCAAGTTTGATCTTTTTTGTGCTCAATATGTGCTTTTCAGTTGTGAATAGGGTGTTCTCTTAATAAGAGAAAAAATAATACCCTCAAATTAAATATGAGTTTCAGCAAAAAAAGCACCGAGGGGTTAAGGTGATGGGGTTAAAAACCCTGAAATGTCAGGCGATGGGTGAGACAATTGTTTGAATTTTGTCATAAGATCACTTTTTACTCTCTTTGCTTTTTCCTGTTCCACTGATCATTCCCCTCTACATCATTCCCTTTTAGATGGATTCTTTCTTAAAGTTACATCCGGCATGGATATCGTCTGACCCCAGAACTTTATAATTGTGCCCCAGCATTATGCCCTATGACGTCGTGCCTAGCGGGCACAGTTTCTTCGGGCATCTGTGATTTCTTGTTATCGGTTCGCACTTTGCATTTGTCATATTCTTGTTATTAACCTTGCTTTCGTTGCTCACCATATCAGTAATTTTACCATTCAATAGATATTTACTCCCCTTTAACATAGTAGTCCCCTTTAATATAAGTAGTTTTCCATATCGTGCTGTTACTGTAACTGTTTCACTACCTTCATTTGATCTTAAACCAGGTTTAAAATATTATTTAAGGATTGTGGCCAGAAATTAGAAGGGTTCCAGTTACTAACGCTGGATATCGCCATATCGGGGTCACTGTGGAAAAAAACTATGGGGCTCTCATACTAAAGTATGAAATCAGTGGAGCTATAAGTCACTATTACAAATTTTGAATTGGTGGATGAAAAAGTTGTATTTTCCCCAATAATTTTGGAGAATAAATAGGTAAAACTGGGATTGCCCCACCCCAGGAACCACATTTTACCCCTAATAAACCATTGAATAGCATGGGAGACAATACACAGCATCGATTTTTAGTGCAATTACTTTTTTCTTACTTGCCTTTTTTGGGTGCCCAAAATGAGGCAAAATGAGGTTGGACCCCCCCCCCCTGTCCCTACAAGGCATTCCCTGTAGAGTGTATAGAGTGTAGACCAGGTTAAGTTAGCTTTAAGTTAACTTTGACACTTATACAATATACAATATAAAAACTTAAGCCGGATCTCCATACCTGCATTTCCAGATCCAGCCAAGAGTCTGGGGTCCTGCTTGAAAGCCAGCACCTGATCAACAATGCTAGGGTAGTAGAGCGCTTCAGGTGCTGAGAGTGAGCGCTCTTTCTTCATGTTGTGACATTCTTTCAACAGGTCTGATGTGTCCATTGGTGGTTGTATCTGAGGGAAAAGAAGGGCTTAATGTGTGTATACTGCATAATCATTTAAAAGTCTCCAACCCCTTCAAGTACATTGTGAATATTTGTGAATGATTTTGAATTACTTAATATAAAGACCATGACAAGTGACCACTGTTCGATACATACAAGAAAGATACATTCCACGTCTAATAACGAAGCGGGGAAAGTGCACGACAATAAACATCAAAAAACCGCACAATTTCTACAAATTTGGATAAAAGCTTCTAACTAACATGGCTGATATTGTTGGAGGTTGGATCGTCAAGACTTCGTCTCCTAGTGAAACCAGTCCCTGCAAATCCTTCGGATCCTGGAACCTGAAATAACATCTATGTAATTATCGTATCTGCTTTTAGAGGGGTAATTCTTTGGATCAACGTTGTTTTTGTAAAAGCGAAAGTGGACTATCAAGCAAGAATGTTTCTGCTGATGTAACCAATAGATGATGTAGCCAATAGTTTTAGCAAAACGTGACGTATTTCCTAACGTTTGGGTTTCTGGTCCGTAGAGCAGTACTAATTTGCATGCTGCAATGAACAATCAGATCTTAAGGCTCTTTGGAAGTTTAGATTTCCAGATATTATTCAGTCTATGTAGGGTACCTCTTCATAACCCTGACCTCCCTATCTATATCTGTGCTTTCTGTCCAAGAGTTTAAGTACACGAAATCATCCACATTTTCTATAGTTTCTTCAGATAAACTTCGGAGGTCACTACATAATCCATATTTAGTGCCATTACCTTGATTTTGCTTACGTTAATGTGTAACCCTACCGCCCTACGCTCGCTGCTGTTGATTTTACTCAGAGCAGGATAAAGCAAATCACTTTTAACCACAATGTAACGAACGGTCCATGATCTCATTTTCAAAATGAACGTAACTAATTATGCCAATCTATAGTTCCTTCACTGTTGGTTGAATGTTGGCTTTACGATCAGGATTCAGGACTTTTACAATGTATTATACAACAGTTTGTACCTTAGAAGATAAATAGGGGTATGTAGGACGAGAACAGGTTAAAAATGCTGAACCTTTCTTTGGATGGAATGTTAAAAGTGTAGGAAGCATAATTCGTCACAGGATATTTGAACTCAGGTTAAAACTTTAAACATTTTCCACTTATTTTCCCATTTTCTGACTGTGGGGTAGGGCAGTGTATGGTGCAAAATGAACTCTTACTAGTTTCCGGAGCTGCTAAATTTATAGTTTTCAGGACATTTTTTGTACTGTAAGGATTTGAAAGATACTAAAGGGTGTAGCTAGAGCGCGTCAATAAAAAGAAAGAGCCGGGATGAGTTATTTGTGACCGATGTCAAAGTATAAAAACATTGGGATGATCCTTTCAAATTTTAAATGGAAGTTTTTGATGCGATGGGCCCGCTAAAGGTATAATATAAGATTAAGCGACACGCTATTTTTAGTTCTCTCTTGTAAAAGTGCTCTTGTAATCATAGGCCCAAGCTTCTAAATGCCTATTTATAGCCGTAATGATACTAATGCTTTTACTGTGAAGATGGAGTGAATGCAGGCTTTTCTAGGAGGACAACTTCGAGTCTAATGCATTTAAATCACTTAAAAACACGTCACGCCCAGCAATTCAATTCAGGATGTAAATTACAACTTCAAAATTAGAATATGAGAGATATTTGTTCCCAATAAAATGTACACCATGACATTTGGAGAGGTACCTGAAGGGAGTCTCTGCGCTGAACGGTGGGTTTGGTGTGTTGGTCTCTTGAGGACACGTTGTTGCTGTCATTAATCATGCCACTCACCATTATCGTGGGTTTGAGTGGATTAAACGCGCTTACGTACTGAAGTTAATTAAACATTACCAGAAATAAAATTGTCGTTAAAGGAGTTGCGTCAAGCAATACCAGAAATAATTCGTGGGAAACTTGATGGGCTGAAAGCAATCAAATTTGGCAGGCAATTTCATTGCCGATATAAGTCAATCATTACCAGAAGTGGAAATGTTAAGAAATTTAGAGAGGCCAGGTTGTCTGTGAAAAGCACTATATTTGATCGAATAACCATCCTACCTGAACCATCTAATAGGATATTAAGCTAAACAATCAGGACAAAATACCTCAAGTCCGTTGTTGTCAGGTGATCCCATACTCTTCATCAACCCCTCGTTTGATGGCGATATGTTGCGTAATCTCTGGACACTTGCCATCTGCAAATAAACGTTTAGCATACTTTATTACTTTAGATTGGGGTTCATCTGTGAAGATACTTTCTTACTGGTTATTATACTAACTGTAGAAATTAAAACTTATTTTTTCTTGAAGATAAATGAGGAGGGGTACCTGTTAAAAGTTCAAGAAACTTCCTAGGATACCCCTTCAGTGCATACTGTAAATATAGTACTATGAACTATTAACTATAGAAATGATGGAATCCAGTTGGGTGTCATTCGGGATGTTTTGGTTCTTGAATACAAAGCAGCACACAATTTCTTCATTCTCAATATACCTATCTAGTGACTGACAGTTTTATCGAGTTTCTATATAAAAAGTGCGCCTGATTGGTGAAAAGAAGACAACATACGATGACGACTTTGTCAGTGCTCGTCATGATAAAAATCACTAGAAGCACCTTTTTAGCACACCTAGACTAGTGAATCCAAAAACGCGGAAAGTTTCAGTGATATTTGATTTTTTTTAAAAGAAATTATAGTGAATAAAGCTACAGCTTGGAGATCGTTCGTACAGGTATTTCACAATGACAGATCAAAGAGTACAGATCTGTCTTCAGAATTAAAATTATCATAATTTATCCATAGACATTATTTAATATTTAACGATCCTGTTTCGTTTGTATTATATAATATATGTTGAAATTAATTAAGAAAATTCATCGCTGTAGCATAGAGCAAGGTGTCCGATGCACTGCAAATATAAATTACTAAATTCTGTGTAAGTATAAATTACTAGGGCGTAACATACTTAAAGAAATGTCTTGCTATACTGGGGAGGGGGATGCCCATGCCCAAATGGGCAACATTTTCATCATTTGTCGGTCAAAATCGAAACTTTAAAAAATAAATATTTTTGATACACGATCGTGAAGTTTATTTTCTTCATTATAATTCAAGTTTTGACTGATTTTAAGGGGCATTGCCTGTGCCCATGTGACCAAAAGTTGAAGAGTAAATGGACCTGGGATTGATCCCACCCAACCCCCCCCCCCCCCCCGGCCCCCCCCCGGCCCCCCCCTCCCCCACTTTATTGACCCAGCAGTGACGTGAATCGGTTGATCGATTGAAGACTCCTCAGTAAGGAATAATCGCGCACAATCGGTTGTAACGAAATATTGAATACTACATTTTTATAAAAATTGATTCTATTTCATAATTTATTGAATGGATCTCTTTGCATCTTGCCTCTTTAAGCACTAAATTCTAGGAATTGCAAAGGGGGAGGCAGCACTATCATTTTCTGTCAATGTTTCACTGACTCAACATAAATGGTTTTTAATATTATAAAGTAGATAGAAAGCCCGTGGTCACAGGGAGGAAGCTAATAGTATTCTTTGGTAGTCAGTTTTTATAGCATCAACAAATATCCGTCACAACCGAAGATACAGCCAATTAAAATGTAGCTCGCACTGAACACAACGTAATTACCACAAAACCGATCAAAATTCGCTCGCAAATCTTTGCACGTGCACTTTTGAACACCGTTACCATGGTTACTATACAGCTTCCTATTTCTCATATAATTTGCACGTGGGCGGTCGTACAGACATACAAAGATAATCTTCCGAATTATAATTAAGATTAGTATTATCTCAAATACGACATATGATTGGTCCTGATCGTTTCAGCTTTTTTTAGCCGGACCGGAACTGAACCGGAGTTTAATTTTTGAACGTAGAATGTACATCATTAAAAAGTGTTATAGCTCGATATTCTGATAAGGAATGGTTATATCATCTGTGAAGAAGGTCCAGACATATCTATAGACAAGATTGAGCGATTTCAAAATAACCTCAAAACAAGACTGGTTTGGATTCCGCACTTTCGCATTTAATACCCTTTTGCCCATTTTATACCTTAACAAACATTAAAAATTTTGTAAATAGGGGTCGTTCACATATTACGTAATCAGCCGAGGGGGGAGGGGGGGTTTCCAAATAATTACGGTTGATTACGGGGGGGGGGGGGGGGGTTTCGGTCGTTGATTACGTAATCAAAATTTTCTTTTTTACCCTCTAGAATAATAGTATAATAACAATTTGACAATATTTAAATTCAAATTACACTCAATTTCACTCTGAAAGTGATAAAATTTAGAAATTGATCGAATATCCGGCTATAATAGTAAGTAGTTTAGAAGGTGCTTGGCCGGATATCATAACAATGATTTCGGCTCATCATGATAGCATGATCAGGGTAGCATGAAACGTAGAGAAAAGTGTTTTCTAGGAAAAAAGTCAAGGGGGGGGGGGGGGGGGGTCAGGCCATGATATTGATTACGTAATATTGCTGTCAGGAGGGGGGGTGGTTGGGTCTTGATTACGGTTGATTACAGAAGGGGGGAGGGGGGGTAAAAATTGTTCAAATATTGATTACGTAATATGTGAACGACCCCATACCTTAAAATTTCATATCCAGTAAGCCACTATCCGGTTTTATGGTAGAAACTGGGACTGGAACGATTATAAATGCTTAATTATCCGGCCGAATGTGGATTCAACCGGTCACATAACGATTTAGCTGGATAATCAGTCTTTTGCCGTTCTGACAAAAGTGCTTAAAGACCACTCAAAAATCCGAGAGTTTCAAGCACTTTTGACACATTTATGACAACTTGTGGCATTTTAAGCGGTTTCAAAAGGGGGTTTCTAAGGGCCAGCGATTGGTTCAAATGGTTTCTGATAATTCGCAGGGATAGTTATTGACCCAAAAGAAAATTTGGGTTAAAGAATCCAGAATTTCAAAAATGGTCTTTAAGCACATTTGTCAGAAAACGGCAGAGATGACAGGTAAACCAATCCAACGAAAAAATGATCTTTTAAGAAATCCACAAAGATGTATTTCAAAAATGTCTACCAAGAGTGGTCAAAAGGTTTAAAGTTTCAACCGTTTAACTTTAACTCAAACAGGTCCTAGACCCGGGCAGAACGCCGTGCTTCAAGGTTAAAGAGAAGAGAGCCAAAAGAGACGCAAGTATATAAGGTGCACCCCAAATAGCAACCTGAAGAGTTTTGAACTCTGGCACAAGCTTTTGAACATTGTTGGTATTGTTTGAACTGCGACAGTGGCATTGGCAGCGGGTATTCATCATCTGAGTTGAACATAAAGCTGAGAATTAGTGCGTCAAGGACTGACCAAACTTTTAGTAATTGATAATTGATTGTTTGATCTGTAACGTACACATGAAGGTTTAGGGTTCTGGGATTTACACTTTACATTGATAGAATAATTGAAAGGTTACAAATTACCCCTCTTATCCCTCATGTAAAACCTACATACTGTAGTTATTGCTCATTGAGAGAAACATTTCAAGAATGAAAAAAACTTCTGGCATAATTGTAACGGTAAGAACAAGTGATAGAACTAGAATACTTAGAACTTATAGGCAAGCTTACTGGCGGATTCAACGGTTACTTAAAAGTAAATTCGAGACAACTGACCCCAGTGCTAACTCCTAAAATATTTGGCATTACACGTGACATAACACGTGACATTACACGTAACCGAATATAAAGAGATCTTCTGACCTGTGGAGAGGCGGGAGTAGAATCAAGAGGACTGTTTGTGTTGTATCTATCACTCTCACTCCTCAGCAGATCAGCCAGCAGGAACCTGATGTCAATGTTCTGCAGTTTGCTAAGTACGGAGGGGTGGCTGAGGAGGGAGCCCAGGGAGAACGCTCCTAGTCCTCCGTGGTCTGTTTCTTCCGCGCCGTGGTTATTGTTACTGCTTGCCTGCTGTGGTTTTTGTTACTGTTTGCCTGCTGTGGTTATGTCGTGAGCGTGTGTGAACTGTGACGTGTGTGTGCGACATATTGTTATATTATTAACAATGATTCATAAACTTTTCCTCGTCTATCGAATATGATCGGAACATTTCAAGAGTGAATATGAATTTCTCATTACTAGAAGTGACTGAGAAATCTCAACAGGATATGATCTTATGATAGAAAACAGATACTTAATATAACCTGAAACATTCTTAAGAATTACAGCCTAATTATTTCCTGTTCACTCTACCTTAGCCGCTGCAAGTTCCTCATGCAGCCGCTTATTTTCTTCTCTCAGCTGGTCTACCGTTGTAGACTCTGTGTTTCGAGCTGAAAAACATTTTATTACAAGGTGCAATGTGAGAAGCTCTGTAATTAAGGCAACAGCATGAGCAGTCGCTTCACACGACAGAAGATTCGTCAGAATCTATTTGACACCGAACATCGGAACATTATCCACAATCTGCGATATAATTAGATGAAGATAAGACGTGCAACATAAAATTGTAATAATATATTCTAGTTTTACCAGGTATGATCTTGATTCGGTTTTGTGCATGCTCCTGCAGGGTTGCGATTAGCTGGGTTCCTCCGATATACCGGTCCGTGCTGACCAAGATCCTCTCAAAGCCGCACTTTATCGCATCGTCCAGCGCTTGGATAGGGTTAGCTATCTCATCAAAGGCCCTACTGAGGGTACAGGGCAGGGGTCGACACAAACCTAATTAAGGTGGGGTTTAAGTTAATAAACGTTATCATAACATTATTATTACATCTATTTTCGGAAAAACTTCTATTTTTGAAAACTTAAAAGATATCTAAATGCAGGATTGGTTAATATAAGTAATAATATAAGAAATAATATAAGTAATAATATAAGTTAACAGAAGTTAATATAAGTTAATATTTAAAGTAATAATATAAGTAATAATATAAGTTAACATAAGTTAATATAAGTTAATATAAGTTAACATAAGTTAATATAAGTTAATATAAGTTAATATAAGTTAATATAAGTTAACATAAGTTAATATAAGTTAATGTAAGTTAATACAAGTTTATATAAGTTAATATAAGTAATAATATAAGTTAATATAAGTTAATATAAGTTAATATACAGTAAGTTAATACAAGTTAATATAAGTTAATATAAGTTATTATAATTAAAGTGCTAGCGATTGTAAGACAAGTGTCCGAGAAATTACTCACTGATAAGAGCACTGCACCGATTTATGTCTAGCTGGTTGTTTCTGAAACAAACGTGTGTTCATTGTAGGGTGTAAATGATACGACAAGATGACGTTATTCGTCTACGATTTGGACAGTTACTTTGAAAATGCATAGTTTGTAAAGTTCTGTAGTATAAGTTACAAACTATTTTACATTGTAACTATATAGCTACATGAAAGACTTCCCTACAACGTCTTGTCAGTGTTAAATTCAGCTCAAGCAGGTTTTATAAGAAGTAACAAAACATTTATCAGAACTAGTAAGGTTTTATGTGCCAAAAATATGGTCAACATGAAGTAACTGAGGCAGAGTTATAACACATGAAATATTACCAATAAAGTTTTTAACCATTATTAATAGAAGGTAAACTCATTTTTTAAAACTCACTGAGAAAGGACACCCAGGACAAATCCATTAGCACCGACATGCTTAGCAATGCTAATCTCCTCCTTCATGATCTCGAATTCTGATTCAGAATAACAGTAATCTGTTCTGTAGGGTCGCACAACGACAAATATGGGAAGGGGAAGGTTATCTTTTACAACTTTTAATAGCCCTGCGAATAAAATTTATTAGTGACAAAGATTACCGATGTAACGAAATGGTGTCAAATGTGATCGAATACTGGTATATATTCTGTTTTATAATTATATAATACAGATGGCATACTGTACCTACTTGTTCGAGGATTCCGTCGCCAAAATTTGAAAAGTTCGAATATTTTAGACCACACCCATTCAATATTAAAACACCTATATTGTTCTCTCTGAACATGCTGGACGCCTAATGTTTTCAGAGACGGTATATTATTAAATGTTGCATCTGATCTGAAAAAATGAGGCAAAACGGATAAGAAATGACGAAGTTATCAAGCATTTTGTGTTTGTGTATCTTGTTAACAAAATTGGGCACTCAGTGACTGGGCTAACGTATGCACACTGACTTATGGCCCCCCTGTATTTGTATTAAAATATTAATTACGAATTAATTAATTAATTACCAATACTAATATTTTTTTAAATTTTTAATTACCAATACTAGGACTATATCCTCCATCGTGAGCACTGAAGCACAGCTCGACACTGCTGGCGCCTGGAAACAGGGTGAACAATTTAACTATACCATCTGCATCACGTTGTTTTCAACTAAGCAATTTATGTGTTAAATTCATAATTTCTGGGAAAGTGCTAGTTGAACCTGTAGTTGAGGCTTGAGAGTGGGTGGCCAGTGTTTTTTGATTCTATGAGTATGGATTTATTTATGATGATACATAGGATTTGAAAGCATAGGATTTGAAAGCATAGGATTTGAAAGCATAGGATTTGAAAGCATAGGATTTGAAAGCATAGGATTTGAAAGCATAGGATTTGAAAGGGACAAGGTTGAAACTGGCTGAAAGGGTTCTTAGTCCCCCAAGCCAGCATAGCTAAACTATGTTTCATTTTTTCATGTTCTAAGAAATCTGATGTCAGCAATATAAAAGGCTTTGGTCATTATTAATGGACATTGTAGAACAAAAATGACGTATGATATAAATATGAATAAGGATTTCATATAAATTCTAAATCATTTAAACAATTATCAATATGAGTGAAGGAGTCTTACCTTTTTGGACGGCTTCTATGGCAGATTCCAAAGAATCCACACAAACTTCTAAATCAATGGGAGATGAAACTGACATAGCCTTGGGAGACAAAATGTTTACAAATGATCCAGTAGAATTGCTCAATTCTACTGATAGTGATTTGAAAATCATAGGCAGAACACTTAAACCAAGTCCAAAAATCATGAAAGTTATTTCAAAAAGTAGGTACACAATGTATATAGATAGAATATCTTGACATACATTGGATTATTTATTTTCCAATGATATTAATCATAGCCGGAGCATAAGATATGGTCCTTTTTAAAAACCGCGAGGAGAGCTTCAGCAGGATTACAAGCATTTTTGGGCATTCCTTAATGTCTTTCTGATGTGCCTACTGCATGCCAGCTTGGAACAGCAATGTTTCTTGCTTAATAATGATCCAGAATAACGCTTAACCAGTGCAGTAATACCTCCTGTTAGCAACAAAACCAGGAGCATGACATGCTTGGTAACAGATGAGAGTACTATTAATATTAAATATTAATGCTAAATTTAATAAAGACAAGATAATTTTAAAGGGGATACAAGCGTGCACAAGTGCTACAGTTACAGAGCACAAATTTATGTTAAATTGGTTAATTAACCTTTTCTCGAGATCAATTCCTAATGCAATGAACCAAAATGAACCAAAATGAACCAAATGAATCACTGTCAAACTCTCCCTGAAACTGGACAAACGACAATAAAACTGGAGGTGACCGGGATTGGCAATTTTGAGCTATCCCGGTTCCGGTCAAGTCACATTTTTCATCCCGGTCCCGGTCAAATGCTGATTTATGATCCCGGTCCCGGTTAATTCAGGATTCTTGGTCCCGGTCCCGGTCAATCACTCAAATTTGCCGGGATTTTGACCGGGATCTTTTACATAATTTCATTCACTGTGATTTTAAGTTTTTACTTTCATTCATTGTGAATTTCATCTTTAAACAACCTCTGAGCCAAATAAAACAATGTTTACTGCACTGCCCTGCTGTGTAGTGTGTACACAGTGTAGATCAAAGCTATTTCTACTCGGTAACTAATACATAACTCATAAGTGCAAAGTAACATCAAGTTTTCAACTTGGGCTACGCTCAATTGTCAATTGGAATTGGAGAATGAAACTGTTGAATAATTTGAGGGATCATTGATTGTCCCGGTCAAGTCAAATTTTGTATCCCGGTCCCGGTCCTGGTCCCGGTCAGGCCTGAAATCATGTCCCGGTCACCTCCTTCAATAAAACAAATGAAATGTTTTCCACTGTTCGGGAACTAAAGGCCAAAGGGTTATATGCTGTTAAGTAATAAGTTTTACCCAAACTAAAGGGTAAATAAAATGAAAAAATTTATATTCACCACAAAACAATCAATACATATTATGTTATATTCATGAATAAATTCAAATTTGAAATTCAGCCACATACACTGCCTGCCGCGCACACTGCCTCACACAATACCTGGAAACATAATGCACACTGAAGTATATACAGTGAAGGTAAAGTTATTTACCTCACACTCTGGTATACACTGTCTTATGATTCATTACTTTAAGGGGGTCTTCATCAAAATTCTCTCGAAATTGACTTTATAGTTGTTTCTGATAGAGGGGAGTGATATCTATCAGCTGTTTTTAGTCCCATGGAAAAATTGTTCCTAGCCGAAATTATTGCCGGTCAAAGGTCAGTGCCTATGTGTAATTGTATTGCGCAAGCGATTTTCAATCGCGCCCTGAAAATCGAGTCCAAAAATCTATCTTCTACTACATTTTTTTGAGAAGATAGATTTGAAAAAATCGTCAAAAAACGAGGTCCAAGATTTTCAAAATCAAATAAAAAATTTTCTAAGGCCTATCTCAAAATTCTGAACATTTTTTGAACATTTAAAATATAATTTGAAACATTACAGTAACGTTATTCAAATCTCAAACAGAAACAGTATATAACAAAGTTTTGTGTTTTGATCATATGATCGTGGATGTATAGTGATTGATTGCATAATTTTGAATTTGATTGATGGTGATTGTGAGTGAGAAGATGTTTGGAGTGCCAGCCAGTAACTCTGTCAAATGAACAGCCCATTGAAGAGCGAATGAGCGCAATTGCGCAGGAACAGCAGAGAGGGTGGCACAAAACGGCACACACGGAAAAGACGAAACAAAAAAGAAAAAACGCCGTGCGCGGTAAGCTTGCCTATGTCTGAGAGCTGGTGTTACCTGGCAAGAGGCCTCGAAGGAGGTGCCGTGGTGGAGTGTGAAGGGAAAGTTCGAGAGCACGGCAGCTCTAACTGATGATGATGATTGAAGAAGGAGGTCGAGCGGGAAGCTCAGAAAAAGCTAAACAGGAAGGATCCAGCTGAGGTCTGACTCATGTCAGGAAGTGATGAAAAACTCACAGACAAAATCATCAGAACTGACAATCATCAGAATTGACAATCTTTTCTAAATGGTCCTTAGAACATATCCTGAAAGTTTTAAGGTGATTGCTCAAAAAATGTAGGAGAAGATAGATTTTTAGACTTGTTTTTCAGGGCGCGCGATTAAAAATCACTCGCGCAATACAATTACACATAGGCGCTGACCTTTGACCGGCAATAATTTCGGCTAGGAACAATATTTTTCCATGGGACTAAAAACAGCTGATAGATATCACTCCCCTCTATCAGAAACAACTATAAAGTCAATTTCGAGAGAATTTTGATGAAGACCCCCCCGGCCCCCTTAACTTCTATGTGTGGTATTATTATGTCATTATTCCTTGCCATTGAGGGAATGATAACAAATCATCATAGAGATTTGATCTAATATGTTGATGGTTACCGTCCCTTTCTTTACCTGGAAATGACAGACAATATGTAGGCATATTCTAATTCTCATGCAAACTAAATCAAGCAATCTTTGCACCTTCTGGTCAACCTTGCACCAATTTATCATACTACCCTAGTAATATACGAAATACACTGCTTTCAGAATTTTGCATGTGATACAATTTTTTCCGTTCACACTCTTTTGTAAAAGGATAATAGTGAAAGGTTACGAATGGACGTTTTTGCAGAAAAACGTGGATTTTGGAGAACGAGGTAGGTGGGTTTAAATATGTCGTCAGTCCTTCCTTCCGTAAGTTACCATGACAACTAGCACACAGTGCAGCGCGCGAGTAATGCTTGCGGAGATGTGATGTATATAGCTAGCATGTCAATAAATGCGCGGCGCGAGTGTATTTTAATGTATACTATGTAATGTATAGTATTAGGTAATAAGCCCAATTTGTACGTGGCATGCGTAGTATAGTGTACTCTGTGTATATTATTATTATGAAGTGAGCTGATTAGAGCTTATATTTATAGATATAGCGAATGGAAATCTAGCGTCCGCCAAAACGAAACAACGGGCGCAATTCTTGTTTAAATGGAAACAAATTCTAAATTCCATTCTTTGTTTACAATCAAACAAATGCAATATAATAAAATTCACAGGCATGAAGTATGCAACTAAATTTCCTCACACATATTAATGTTTTTTAATAGCTATTAGCAGGGTAAAATTTGTTAGGTGTGTTTCTATAAATTTCTCTATTGGAAATTAAAGTTTTTGATCTCTACTATTTATTGTTATTAAAATGCTCATTGTAGCCAGCTGCTAGTATACTTGTATCATTTAATTTTAAATCAAATTTATTCGGATATAATATATTTATTGATTATGTATTGAATTGGTGATAAATAATTTTTTTATAAATTGTCTTTTCTCATCATCATCATAATGTATTACTAATAATGTAACCTATGTCGTTGGATCTGTGCACAGTGCAAATCAAATAAAATCAAGTACAAGATTCCATATTTGCTTAAAATCTCCTCAGTTGACGTAGTAGTCTTATAATCGAATGATTGGGAAGCCGTAATTTTATATCTAAATGCAAAAAATCACATTTCTTTTTAGGGCACCAATCCTAGCAAGAGCATACTAAACCTCTAGACAAACAACATGGTAAATTAGCTCAAGAAAACAACAACTTGAGTTGGTATACTTGCTGTGAGGTGTATCAGCTACTGGGTTGAAGGTCCCCCTTTTTAAAATCTTTTTTAAACATCATCACGCCATAACTAAAGATGTTTGGCTGCGCAATAAGTGTTATATGTGTTAGAATCTTAATTCTATTTGTAGCTTGTTTTTGTACTTCATATTACTAACCCTGTATCTCACTTTAGCAAAGGTTTAGTTCCAGTGATTGTATATACAGTGTTGGGGTAAAGGGACTCCAGAAGGCAGACAAGGCTCGACTCCAGACTCTAGTTGAAGTAACAGAAGAGAGAGGAGTGTCCAGTGTTTAGTTGACTCCAGACTCTAGCGTAGCAGAAGGGAGAGGAGTGACGTTGTCGACTCCAGACTCTAGCGTAGCAGAAGGGAGAGGAGTGACGTTGTTTTAGTGATCCCACAGATTCCAGTCGACAGATACTATCTGTGTTCTGTGACGTGGAAAGAGTGGTAAGTAGTTTATAGTTATAGTTTAGTAGTTTAGTCTAGGAGTTCCCACTTCCTCTTTCACTTTCATTTATAGTTTCACGTGGATTACCTTTCACTTTACTCACGGTAGTTTTCCCCCAGGGTTTTTGTTTTATAGTTATCAGTTCCAGTTTTACTTGAAGTCCTCATCATTCAGAAGTCCCTCATATAGTAAGAAGAACATCATCATCAGGAGTAGTAGTTTTAATTTAATAGTAGTTTAATCTAATAGTAAAAAAGACATTGTTTAGTTTAGTATTGAAATGTGTTTTAACTATTAGTCAGAGCAGAGTAGTGTGAGTTACTGAGTCACACCATATCAATCATTCACTATTTAAGAGAGTACATTGTAGAGTAACAAGGTTACTTTTGACACAAGTTTTGTATAACCTCTTTATTCATCTAATTTGTATTTATAATAATTGAGTATTATTTGTTATTTAATTAACCCAAGAACAGGGTTCCAACAATATGTACTAGAGCTCGACTTATAAAACGGGCTTTACTGATTTATTAGCATGATCATGATCAAAATGTGCTCAACTGGACTAAAT